TTGAAATAATTTACTCACAACTGAAGGTTCTACTGCGTAGTTAGAAACAACTCTAGTATTTCCAGTAAATAACTTATCTCTAAGATTATCTTTGTTTTCAGGGTGCTGATCCTAATTGTACCAATAACGAGGATCGCCCTGTGCTGACAGTGGCAGTCCTCAATGGTCATCACAAAGTAATACCGGTCCTTGTACAGAAAGGGGCTGACATTGACCAGCAATCTGGGCCGTAAGTACTTGCAATGCTGTGAGTAATATATTTCTTGGTGGGTTGATGATCTTATGAGCCATCTTTTCAATCAGTGGATCAGCATGGTTATTGCCTTCATATAATTATGTGCACAATGTACATTTGTCAGTCCTTTCTCTAGTTGGAGAAAAACTATTCTGAGAGGGACAGGGCAGACTCCTCCCAGAAGTGACAGATTTAAAGATCCCTATGCTTAAAAATTCCAAGGACTAGGCTGCGTAGGCATATATCGCTTCCCTGGCAAATTCCATGCGTCTTTGTATACTACTGCAATCTGACTACATTTGAACCATTGTTTTGACTGCTAACTGTCTACCCATTGTTGATGGAAAGATTTGATCAAGTAGCAGATTCAATTTCATCACACAGTTTTATTCACCAAACCTTAGATTGTAGTGGATACGAATTGCAGAATGTAGGCAAAAACAGCCAACCTCTGTCTGTAGCTGAGTTGAAGAATCGTTCCAAAGCAGAAAGCTTGGCCTATATTTTAATTTCAATTCATAACGATTGTGTGTTTAGTGAGTAAACCCCTTATTCAAGATACCAGAACAAATATTCTAAATCATTTACAGAAATGTTTTTGCATTACATTCATCCTTTGTATCAGGTGTGTGATTTTGTTCTTCCTGATTTAACCTGTTACAGACACAACAATACAGCCCTACATGAGTCAGTCATGCTTGGTTTGGTTGGGAAGAAATGTACAGAGGTGCTACTGGGGTAAGGAGAAACCTGTTTCTGTAACATACTGTGTGTGCTATAATATGCTGTTATCTTAACAAATCCCCCTCCACTCGGGTAATTATTCACTAAACTGTGAATTGTCTGGAATAAAAAAATAAAACGTGCTAAAATAGACAAATTGAAACATTTTAGATATGTATAACTGCAGTCCTCTTATCACCACTTGATGGGGTAAATCCATTTTTTCCTACTAAACTGACTGCAGTGGGCTGACTTTCCAAAATGCAACAAATCATTTACGAAGTCACTGGAGGATGCAGGTGGCTGTGAATGGCAGATGTCAGAGCATCTTGTGACAGGAGATCTCTTTAGTGGACTGAATTCAATCACTTGTCCTAACATTATTAATTCCCTCATTAGCTATCCAACTTGTTCGTTGTTTTTTTTTCCCACTATCTGATATTCCTGTATTCTCTTGCTTATTGCTGAAATCTGAATTTCTTGTCCAGATGTAATGCAAGTATAAAAAAGAAAAATGACAAAGGTCTGACTGCGCACGACCTGGCTCTGAAATCTGGAAATGAGGAAATTTCTTCTCTGTTCGCATCCAAACTCGGACAAGGCATGTTGGACAAGCTAATCAAGCCAAAGGGCATCAGCCTAGATGTCTTTTAACACAGAGCCATTACTTAACATTGCTTTATTTGCGTGGGGTATGACAATTAAATGAGCCTTTTATTGAAAAGGAGTATGGGCTAAGTATTTTTGTGATTTTTTTATTTTTTTTTCTCTGTCACTTGAATCAAAAAGTATAGCTAACATTAGCCACTGTATACAAATCTTTATTTGGCAGTAAATGACACTCCAGATCATTGGGTTTTTAATACCATTTTGTGGTCAAGAGGCAGAATGCCAGGGTTGTGTATGGGAACTTTCTCCATTATTTGCATTGCATGTCATGAATAAGATTATCTGAGTGAGAGCAGTATAAAGTGCTAAGGAGATAGAATGAACCTAGTTTTTGTTTTTTTTACATTGTATAAATAGAAGATACAGGAGGACACTACAGTGTCCCTGCTGCCTGCAGTGTTAACATCACTATACATCGACAGATCTAAGCATCAAAACAACCATTATAGTTAGTTATGGAGCTCTAGCTGTGTGTCTGATCACCCACAGTAGTCATCATGCTGAGACACCATCTCATGATCACACCCATAGCATGATCATGGAATAGAATGATCAGGACCTCCTCAGAAGCTACGAGACTCCTTTATCTATCCAATTGCTCCAGCAGTGTCAGAAGGGTACTGGGGCTATTGAATATTAGAAAGGGGCAGCAGGAAGTAGAAAGGTTAGCCACGTTTTGTTTCATTACTGGAATGTGACAGCACTCACTTTGAGAGCTTATTACATCTAATGTGCGATGATTGGACCACCAAAGCATGGTGATTATCAGGCACGTGCCGTCTCCTCAGTACTTTTTGTATATGAGAGGTATTGGATTGTACTGATGGTCTTGCAGAACGCAGATTAGGCTGCAGAGGATTGTCTCAGTGCTGGATTACAGATATATTTAATAGCAAAAAAAATGGAATTACTCAATTGAATTGGCTCCATTGATCTGCTACAGTGAGCTCTAACCAAACCATGAATAATAACATCTAGCCAATCATTAATATTGACATCTATGTATTGCCAGCTTATTCCGCAGAGCTCTACATAACAAAGGGGTACATGTAACAATAAATGTGACCATTACAAATTGTTGAAGAGGACTTTTACAAACGTAATTACTTTTTTACAGCATTCTAAAATTGTCTGATAATCAGTCAATTTTAAAGCGAAACTGGAAACACTGTTGGCAAGATGGTTACTAAAGGGGTTAGTGAGCCAAACTATTGTTTTTTTTGTTTGTTTTTTTAATGAAATGAGAGAGTAGTGCAGAAACAAATGGCATGTTCTCCACTTTTAGAATTCTGTCCCAAACAATTACTTTTCTCATAGACTTATCTCATCATTCTGCCTAAAACAGAAAGGCTAGGATATATGTGATTGAGATACTAGTATAAATAAAAAGGTAAAAAAATAGAAAAAAAGGCTTATCAGTAAATAAAAGGTTTAAATGGTGGTGGGGGGAGCAGTCAGTTTAAAATAACCTTATCAGTCAGTACAGAAAGTTTGAGACAGAGCCCATTCAGATAAAGAGTGCCCTGATGGATAGAATAGATTAGTTGAACTTTTCCCTCCAACCAATGATCTGTAACTGCTCATTTCCTAGTTCTTGAAGAAGCAGCTCCAGTAATTGTTTGGGAACAGCCTGTTGAATGGGTGTATGAGGTTTAAAACAGAAACTCTTGATCAGGTTACAGTGTGTTTAGAGGTTTGTCTTCCGTTTCAATATCACTAGCTCTTATTAGTCAATAGCTTTATTATGTATTATAGATTTATAGCTGCACTCGAAATGCACAGGTTATTAAAATAAAAATATGTATAGTGTAATATATTCTCAAATAAAAAAGGAAGAACCGAGACACAGAAGTAGATCATGTATACAGCATCAGGTCTGAATAGGGCATATGAGCAGTACAATCGCTGCCTGCGATGTAAGAAGGCAATCCATATGAAATCCATTAGGCGTTTAGTAGTATCTTGGATAAGCTGGTTTCTTTAATCAACGAAGGACTAAATGTTATATATTGATGTGGGGCACACAAACAAGAAAATTCTCTCCTTACACGACAGACATCCCACCCCTTCCATAGTTACATATATATTTTTCTATGGAGACTATAGACCTCTCACCCAAAATGCAGATATACGTTTGGTAATGCAATGTTCATTTTGTGCTTTGGTTATGCCTTAAATTGTCTCCTGAAAATGTCAAACACTTGACCACGTCATTTTCTCTTGACTTGTATTGCCATTTTGATATCTACTTTGTTTCTTAATAAAATTGATTTAAAACAAATACGGTAATATGTATTGAGGTCATTGAAGTGTGAGCACGAAGAGCCTTATTCCAGCACGGAATAACCAGCTTGCTTAACCTTAGCATCTTTATTAAGTCCTACAGTATTTAAATGATTGGGGCATTTCATATTGACACAGGATTATTAAGAAGCAGATGTGTATTTCAGAATAGTTAGAACATCATTGGTCCTGAAAGGGTTTAGTGGCAATGAGCATCTTATTTTCATATCTTCTGTACTCAAAAATAACGGCTTTGAAAACAAACTCAAGTTACTTTTTATAAAGTCAGAATGTGAAATATTGAAGGCAAACAATTTTTTTTTTTTTTTTTTTTAAATGTTCTTGTACAGGCAGGGTGTATGCCAAGAGCTGGACACCATAGTGTCTTCCACGAGTCAGCCGGCTGGAGAGAATGGCAGAGTGGGATCATCTGTGCACTTTCAGCACTGCTCCCTTGTGCACTCTGCGGTGATTCTAGGAGCCAGGTTATGTCACTCGAGCAAACGTGTCACTTAACAGCACGCAAGGGGGCAGTCCTGGAAGAGCACCAAGATTACACAAGTCTCACATTTGCCCCAGGGAATAGATCCACTCCAGTTCTCCCAAAAGAAGGGATTTGTGAGAGAATGTGTATGTGTGTGTATGTGTGTGTCAGTGTACTCTGTGTGTAACTATTGTGTGCATTCTATTTTCATTTTGTGACTTTTATATTTCAGATAAATAGTTCACACACAATATTCAGTCCTGTAAAGGTAATAAAGAATATTTTTAAAATAAACAGGCTTGTTCTTAAATATGGGATTAATTTAAAAATCCTTGAAATTTAAATCAATAGAAATGACTCTCGAAACAGGGGTAGTTTATGCTTTTTGTTTTAGACCAGCAGGGTCCGTAAAATGCTGAGAAACACTGCTGTAAAGAATCAATATTCTGATATCCTGCGCAGAAGTGTAATATTTTCTTTTCTGAATAACAAAAATACTAGGAGAACTCTGCAGTGGTACTCCACACCCAGCAACACCATTTTAAATCACGTTTTAATTTAATGAAGTTTCAATGCCACTCACAATTACAAAATTCTTTACAAAGGCTGAGATGTACATCCCTACTCAATGTTGTATTCCATATCTCAGCTGACCTTTCTCCTGCCTCACAATTTCCCCCTACCATATAAGAATTCAGCATGCTAGTCTCAGGCAGGACTGTATCACATTGGGTGGGAATCACTGCCACGGTCTACACTCCCTCCCGATTTTAACTTTTCTGAATTTTAATTCCATCTTCTCCACACCAGGTCTACGGCTCAAAACCTCAACCCTTCCCAGTGTTTTATTTATTTATTCCTATTAGACTTATTCTCAACTGTAACATAGTGATTTCCTCTGCTCTGCTGATATTCCTGTACATTTTCAGTCCAACTATCGATTGTCACACTACAAGAACAATCCTAACCATTTTTTCCTCTACAAATCCGAATGAACATTTATGCCTATAAATACTTCTGCGCCCCCCTCCCCCCCTCCGCTGTCCTTATCTCTAACAGCTAGTGAAGAGGTTATATCCCATGTTAATTCATCTTACAGCTTTTTCTTGATCACTAAGTATCCACGTTTGGTGAAAGAGCAAGAGACAACAGAATACATTCAGGCTGATCCAGAAGCAACCATCATGCTTATGGTCTGTCTAAAGTTGATAGGAGTTTCACTTGCAGATAAAGAAACATTTACACCCCTGCCACAGAAGTCTACCACTCTCTCATCTCCCAACAGTTCGATTATTATAGGTTGTATAATACTGCCCTTTCTGTATAGGATAATTCCTCTATCCCAGGTAAAGAATTAACATATAGTGTGGGTTGGAAGGTCTTTTTTCATCAGCTAAGCTAATATTGTTATACATTATAACATCACTCCCACGGTCCTTCAGGGGTACTTTAAAAGGATCAGCGATCAGGCAACAGAGAACACATTTTTATACATTAACAATATATGCAAAAACATTACAAAATAATAAAAACATTTGAGGTTTATGTCTAGACCAGGAAGTGACTGTGACGACCATTATATATTATAACTTTTATGGCATTGTTGCACATATTCTTTATTACACTGCAGAGGTTTTTGGAGTTTTATTTTTCGGTTATCTGCTTTCTACTGTAATACAGCTTCCAAGTACCTGTACGGGCCATAGCATCCCCATGTGACATATTTCGGTATGAAAATGGGCTTATTATAGCTTTAGTGATTTTTGAAAGGAGAAAAAAAAAATTATGAATGCAAAACGAAAATGGGCAGGGGACCGCTTTGCACCACAAAGTATGCAAGTTCTTACAGTGCTTTATTTAATTTAACTCCCATAATTCACAGCTTCTGGTGGTAAGGAAATTATGACTCGTCTCATGGTTTCCTTGAAAAATAAATAAAAAAATGGAGTGTAACGTTCAAATGATTTATTTGCTGGTTTAACAGTCAGACAGCTACACATGAATTTACATGACAAATTGGTCTGCATCACAAAAAGTTTCTCAAATGTAGTGGACTTTCAAAACAGGTGGCTTGGCTATATACATTTACCAAGATGTCCCGTGTTTTACAATGTTGAGGGTGGAACAGCTTTCCAAAGATATCTTGGAATTCACTATTCAAATTGTTTGTAACTCCCAACCTAATAGTAGGAAGCATATCTAAAAAGCCATCAGTCCATATCATCTCCGGAGTCTGAGGAAGAAAGCGTGCTTGCACTCCTTGCTGTCCACCGGATAGTATTTGTCATAAAAGTCCAGGACATACTCTTCAGTCTTAAACCCAAACTTCTGATAAAGCAGCATGGCCGGGTTATTGGCAGAAACATGCAGGGTGACATCTTTTCCCATGCAGGTCTGCCAGGAGGAAATAAGAATGAACAAATATATATTAAGTGTACATTCTGTAGCTGTATGGAGAGTGCCCTGAGGCAGAAGCCGTAGGTGTGGAATTTGTAAACTTGTGTGCAAAAAAAATAATTCGAAAATGCAATCAGAATGTTCAGGCGTTTTCAATATTTTCATTATGGGGTGATCTAGTAATAATTTAAAGGGACACTAGTCACCCGAACAACTGCAGCTTACTGTAGTTGTTCTGGTGAGTAGAATCATTCCCTTCAGGCTTTTTGCTGTAAACACAGTTTTTTTCAGAGAAAATGCTGTGTTTACATTCTAGCCTGGGGATACCTCCACTGGCCACTCCTCAGATGGCTACTTGAGGTGCTTCCTGGGGCAATGCGTAGACCTTGCATTGATTCAACGCATCTCTATGAGGAGATGCTGATTGGCCAGAGCGGTGCTTGTGCTGGCTTTGCCTTCTTGACAGTCTTAACAAATCTAATGCTTTCCTATGTGAAAGCATTGTGATTGGCTCAGAACACCACTTAGGATGATGCCAGCCAACCAGGCAGATCAGGGGCAGAGTCGCCAGCAGCAGACTGCAATAAAAGTACGATTTTGCTACATTTAGGGAGGCAAGGGGGGCCAGATGGTGTTTTTAACACTATATCATCAGGAATACAGGTTTGTGTTGCTGACCCTATAGTGTTCCTTTAAATACACAGGTTTAATGAGGTATGATGGTTCCTTTTTTTGTGTATTTGTTATAAACTGTACATATCTTTTTAGTAAGCTCAATTAAACCATAATCAATATTAAACAATTAGTGGTGGTGTTTGTCAATTGCAATGCAGTTGATATTAAAGGTACAATGTAGGCAAAATAACTGCCTTATCTCATTGAAGTGGTTATAGTGTCTGGAGCCCCCTGCCACTGACCTTCCATTCAGTGTTTAACCGATTTTAATGGTTTAATGCTAAGCAAGGGTCCCCAGCATCAAATATCCTTTGTGCTGCTCGGGCTCGAGTGTAAGCCACCCATTGCTGGTATGAATTGTTAGGATAGAAGATGTAAATACTTCCTTAGCCATACCTCCAGTGAGGACTTGTCTGCGGAAGTCCATGGACCCTCATTCAGTGTTAAAGGTACACAATGCACACCCAGACCACTTTATCTAATTGAAGTGGTCTGAGTGCAGAGTCTCTGTGCAGAGTTAAAATTGCCTCTAGTGGCTTTGTACTCCTAACACTATTGTTCCTTTAAGTTGCTCAAAAATGGTTTAACATTGAATAGAAGGGTGTCACCATAATAGCTATAGTGTACCTATAAACTATAGTGTAGATTGTTTTGTTTTTTCCATCTGACAAAACTATTCTATACTGTTGAAGAATGGGATACTTGAGATTAGACATATGCATAAATTAGTTTTAAGCAATTGGTCACAATAACATTCCTGGCAATTGTCAAACAAATTGATTCTGAAGACTTGGTTTGTTTACAAACCAACAGAATCACCCAAATTAAAATAATTCTAATCATCTAAATTAAACTAATAATCATTTAAATTAAAATAATTTTAATAAGTTAGTTTGTTAAAGGAGAATAAAGATAGCAGCACCAGGATTTAGTTTATGGGGGGGGGTTATATTCTACCAATAAGTTGTAGACCTTGCCACGATTTGATATTTAAACTGCCTGTCTTCAAAGGTTGCTATTTCGCAGTCTCTATTAACTGATATACATGGGTTAAATGACTTCCTTTTTAGCAAAATACAGTTATAACACAGGGTTTTATTTTCCTTTACAAAAATAAAAAGTTTGTTTCCAGCAGATTCATCTATGTGGGATAGGCAAAATCTGTGTGTAAAATTACCTCATTTGATTCTAAGAATTATTGCTTGTACTTAATTCCTAATTACTTAAATCAGAAGCAAATAAATTTGATTATTGTTCTTATTACACATTTATCTCTTTGGTATATACTCATTCAAAAACTAATCTTATTTTTCTTCCCCTTCCATTCCATTATTATTAAGCTAAATACTGTCCCCTATATACTGCTCTGTGAATAAAATGAGACTGTTTGTAAAATCACTGTTCATCTTGCTTGCAAAGAAGCGGTCACCAGAGTATGCAGGCTCTCCTTTATACCTATTCATAGATATCTTGGCCCTTTGGGTCATAGTATAGAGTTGAAGATCATTTTCTTGTGCTAATTTGAGGACCTGCAATTTTTGGATCTAGTATCCTTTATAATTTCTATACATGCTAAAACAACTAAACCCAACTCAAGTAGAGAAACACAGAAGTGCCTGTAAAGACCATACCAAGCCCAGATTTTGTCTTATTCTGTAGTACAATATGGTTATTTAAATGAAAGAAAGAGAGAGAAAACCGGTACCTAATGCACTTGCCAATTACCTGAATTAAGTGGTATATCATAAATGTTGCAATGCCTGCTCTCCTCCATTCTGGATGAACAAACAGAAATGAGATGTAGGCCTCATTGTACTTAACATCAGGAACCATGAAGCCAAAAGCCACTATGACTTTTTTATAGAGCACCACCACGCTGAAATCTGGATACTGCAAACATTCCGAGAGATCGATGCCTAGAATACAAAAATATCATGAAAATCTGTTAGACCCAAGATGAACTACCGTAAGTGGTGGAGTAGCACCAAGGGTTTCAGACGTGTCTGTCCTGAATCAAGAATAGTGTTTTCATGAAGCTGGAAATTCCAGATACCAAGATGTTGAATCTTTCAGATCTCTTCCACTTGTCCTGCATACCTGGTGGTTCAGTAAAGCATCATTTAAAGTCTGCCATATATTATGCAGTGTGAAATCTGCCAGACACCTCACAATCAGTCCCATCAATATCCTACCTGGCCAGAAGAATTCCTGACACAAGCAGTTAATCGTGGGGATGTGGCTTGGACGAACATAGCAGTAATCAATGGGAGATTCTGGCGCTGGCTTCCACTTGGGATCGTCTAGATGAGGGTAGGCAAGGATCTCTGTTAAGAGCTGCATCCTCGTAGATTTGGTCTCATAATCACGTCTGGTAGAAAAATAAAACATTTACATAAGAACTTGAATATGCAAACAGAATTCACAGAAGAACACATTCTAACTAGCTATTTGCATTTATTCACTTGTAAAGTTGCCAATTTTAGGACTGTTAGTCTCTATAGTCTTTCCTGTTTCTGTGCTGGAAGGGAAGACAATAGAGACTGACTGTTTTCAATCTCTGACTGATACAAGGTGCATACAGGGAGTGCAGAATTATTAGGAAAATGAGTATTTTGACCACATCATCCTCTTTATGCATGTTGTCTTACTCCAAGCTGTATAGGCTCGAAAGCCTACTACCAATTAAGCATATTAGGTGATGTGCATCTCTGTAATGAGAAGGGGTGTGGTCTAATGACATCAACACCCTATATCAGGTGTGCATAATTATTAGGCAACTTCCTTTCCTTTGGCAAAATGGGTCAAAAGAAGGACTTGACAGGCTCAGAAAAGTCAAAAATAGTGAGATATCTTGCAGAGGGATGCAGCACTCTTAAAATTGCAAAGCTTCTGAAGCGTGATCATCGAACAATCAAGCGTTTCATTCAAATTAGTCAACAGGGTCGCAAGAAGCGTGTGGAAAAACCAAGGCGCAAAATAACTGCCCATGAACTGAGAAAAGTCAAGCGTGCAGCTGCCACGATGCCACTTGCCACCAGTTTGGCCATATTTCAGAGCTGCAACATCACTGGAGTGCCCAAAAGCACAAGGTGTGCAATACTCAGAGACATGGCCAAGGTAAGAAAGGCTGAAAGACGACCACCACTGAACAAGACACACAAGCTGAAACGTCAAGACTGGGCCAAGAAATATCTCAAGACTGATTTTTCTAAGGTTTTATGGACTGATGAAATGAGAGTGAGTCTTGATGGGCCAGATGGATGGGCCCGTGGCTGGATTGGTAAAGGGCAGAGAGCTCCAGTCCGACTCAGATGCCAGCAAGGTGGAGGTGGAGTACTGGTTTGGGCTGGTATCATCAAAGATGAGCTTGTGGGGCCTTTTCGGGTTGAGGATGGAGTCAAGCTCAACTCCCAGTCCTACTGCCAGTTCCTGGAAGACACCTTCTTCAAGCAGTGGTACAGGAAGAAGTCTGCATCCTTCAAGAAAAACATGATTTTCATGCAGGACAATGCTCCATCACACGCGTCCAAGTACTCCACAGCGTGGCTGGCAAGAAAGGGTATAAAAGAAGAAAATCTAATGACATGGCCTCCTTGTTCACCTGATCTGAACCCCATTGAGAACCTGTGGTCCATCATCAAATGTGAGATTTACAAGGAGGGAAAACAGTACACCTCTCTGAACAGTGTCTGGGAGGTTGTGGTTGCTGCTGCACGCAATGTTGATGGTGAACAGATCAAAACACTGACAGAATCCATGGATGGCAGGCTTTTGAGTGTCCTTGCAAAGAAAGGTGGCTATATTGGTCACTGATTTGTTTTTGTTTTGTTTTTGAATGTCAGAAATGTATATTTGTGAATGTTGAGATGTTATATTGGTTTCACTGGTAATAATAAATAATTGAAATGGGTATATATTTGTTTTTTGTTAAGTTGCCTAATAATTATGCACAGTAATAGTCACCTGCACACACAGATATCCCCCTAACATAGCTAAAACTAAAAACAAACTAAAAACTACTTCTAAAAATATTCAGCTTTGATATTAATGAGTTTTTTGGGTTCATTGAGAACATGGTTGTTGTTCAATAATAAAATTAATCCTCAAAAATACAACTTGCCTAATAATTCTGCACTCCCTGTATAGTTGGCTGAAGGATCCGGTCATATACTAAAAAGTTAGGGATGTGTTTTTTCCCTAATTTTTTAAATTTATTTATTTTGTTTAACATAAACTTCATTCACAAAACCCTTTTTCATGACTGCACTATTTTAGGAATCTGGAAATCACGGGAATTCAGAGATATCACCAAGTGTGGCAGAGAGTTTCAATCGTAAGTTTTAAACAAATTAAATCAGAAACTTCATTAAATACGACTGACTTTATTTGTTATCTCCAAACACAACATTTTGCTTACTCAACAGGCATTAAGGAGGCAACAATGTTCTCGCCTTTGACATTTGAGCATCTCTGCAATGAAGAGGTTTTTTTAAAAGAGCTGATTTCTCTTCTTCACACACATTTATGTGCAGAACCCTCTATTTGAGGACCAATGGGAGGCAAATTTGGGCAAAATCCCAGAGGGCGGGATTGGGAGGAACTATGGGAGGCTGCATCTAATAAATTTTTCAGTGGCATGTTACACCGGTTTTCTAACCCAGGATTGGAAGGCATCCGACAAACCTCTGTTGGTGCTTATGTGGCCATAAATGGACGTACCTCCATATGTGGTGGGACTGTCCTAAATTGCATGGGTTTTGGAAGGGTTTTGAAGCTTAGCAGCAGGGGTCCTTCAGAGGTCTGTTGAACTTTTTCCCCTGGGTGTTTCTACTTTCTCACCCAGTTAACAGAATGCCAAAGCACACTCAAAAACTATTGAACCTGATTTCTTTAGCAGCTAGACAAGATTGGTGGCAGGTTAATTGAAAATGGAGGCCCCATCCCTACAAGAAGTTTCAAATACCAAAATAAGGAACACATCATTTTCCTTAGAAGCAGAATAATAGGCATGCAAAAGGTGTCAATGATGATTGTTTGATTCTATAAAATTTGATAAATCTTTTTAAATAGTTGGCAAAAATATAGTATATAATTTTTCTAATTCCTGTATTATAATCCCTTAATGTCACATTAATATTCCTATAGATCAGCAGTTCCCAAACTGTGTGCCGTGGCGCCGACATGCACACAGGGGTGCCGCGGAATGTTTCCCAGGTGCTATGATTATAGCACCGGGGAAACATTGCTGCTGAACAGGGACTCTGTCGGGTGCCGCGGTCCTTTAAGATCGCGACCGTGTACCTCTGTCGGCAGGCTGGGAGGAAGTGAAAGCCTGTCACTTCCTCCCAGCATCCTGCAGGGAGACAGCACAGGAGGAGGCAGCAGCAACCTGAGGGGAGAGAAGCAGAAAGTGCTCCAGACCTCTCACTCCCACCAGCAGCAGGACTCCAAGCCACCCTCATGGACACACAAGGTAAGCTAACATGAGGGTGGCTGGAGATATTAAAAATTATATTGTTTAATGAACTGTTGGTTTTGTGCATTGCCATGTTAATAGTAAATTAGAAGTACTCACATTATTAAGTCTGGTTAGCATTAAGTATGGTCATATAATGCATGCATGCTCTAGTGGTGTGTAGCAATATATGTCAATATTCAGTATATTTAAACATCATGAAATAGCACTTAATAGGAGATACAAACAAGGAAATCCTCCCTATAAACTTGATATACCAGTCAAACATAAATATACACTACCTTTAATGCCTGTTGTACAATGGTGAGATTGTATTACCATCTAGGTTTTAAACACTTGTGTATGAGTGTGTGTGTGTGTGTGTGAATGTATGTATGAGTGTGTGTATGTATGATTGATTGTGTGCATCTGTGTGTGTCAGGTTGTGCATGTGTGTGTATATATGTGTGTACGTCAGTGTGCTTCTATGTCAGTGTGTGTCTGTTTGCGCACACATCTGTGTGTCAGGATATGTGTGTGTATGTGCATCTATGTGTCATTGTGTGTTTTTATGTTAGTGTGTGCATGTATCAATGTTTGTGTGTGTCAGGATGCGTGTGTCTGTATATGTCGGTGTATGCGTGTGTCAATGTATATGAATTTGTATGTATGTATGTGCATACATCAGCACAACATACAAACACAATATTACATAGAAACACACCCCTTCACTCAAACAAATACTTCACACAAACATACACCCGCATTTAAAAGTGAACATTACATTCAAACGCAAACATTACATACAAACACTCCTATATTAAAACACAAACTATATACAAGCACCTCTTCAAACACCAACAATGTACATTACACTATAGCGCCAGTAAATGCCGCATCGCTGTACGGATATACAACCTAGAAATTTTGACTTGAGGTGCCTTGGAAAAATATTGAAATATTAAGGGCACCTTGAACCTAAAAAGTTTGGGAACCACTGCTATAGATGAAGGCTATTTCTATAGATTAAGGCTGGAGGTTCTTGAATAGAAGTGTTTAAGGGAAACCACAAGAGGTAAGAAAACCACGGTGATAACTGCTAGTGAAGATCTTATAGGTGAAGAGAGTCAGGCCTCACTTCACACTCAAACTCAGTGAAGAACTGCATTTAACATCCTGCTGAAACACCTACATCTCTCAGGTACTGACTGAATCTTGGAAGATACTCCACCTCATTTATTCCTGGATTGCTACCATATTCTCATGTGTTACTATAGATTTTTTTACCATTTCTACCTGTAGTTTGCCACTGTAATTTTCTGTGCATGCAGTTTGTACTATTGTCATTAAATGTTTCTGAGTTATCAATATTTTGGGTGATAGAATTTGGTTGCTAGACTTTTCAATAGTCTATAACACATGGCTACTCCCCCCCCTCCCCCCTCCAGCTGTTTGAGATTCTCACTCAATTACCTCTTCATTCCCTTCCTATTTTACCAATGGCTGCTTCTCTGTTAACGCTTTTAGCCATCACCTCCAAACCTCCCCTGCTACCTCTTGTCTCAAATCCCCATGGTATACTTTAGATTGTAAGCTCACGGGCCATCTAGCCAAGCACTTTGTATAAAAGAGCTCCAATGGCTAGATACCAGCTTACGAGCAGAGCTCTCTCTACCTCTTGTATTTGTCTGTGTATACTGTACGTTCTCCACAAATTGTACAGCGCTGCGGAATCTGTTGGCGCTTTATAAATAAATACCAGGGACAGCACTTGTCCTCTTCTCTAGATAGAGTTGATTTGCTAACACTGGCCTCGAACATTATAGTGACATAGAACACTTCAACTCAATGAAGTGGTCTGGGTGCAGGGGTCCGGTAATAGTTTTTCTAGTAACTTCATTGTTTACATTGCAAGGTTAAATTCACCTCTAGTGGCTGCCTTCCTGACATCAACTTGAGGCTCTTCCTCTTCCAGACAGAGTAAAACTCTGGGCATGCTGATAACAGCATATGATTGGATGATTGTGGCATTTTGGCATGCATGCGCTCTATTTAGTCCCCATGGCGACTTGGCGCCTAGGATTCGTCGAGCCCTGTTGTAATGAATTGATGTCGGGCCTTGTTGTAATGAAATCTTGTTCACAATGTACAGTTGCAAGAAAAAGTATGTGAACCCTTTGGAATGATATGGATTTCTGCACAAATTGGTCATAAAATGTGATCTGATCATCATCTAAGACACAACAATAGACAATCACAGTCTGCTTAAACTAATAACACACAAAGAATGAAATGTTGCCATGTTTTTATTGAACACACCATGTAAATAAGTCCTGGTTTATTTTCGGTGGATGCGTGTTATATAAGCCCTACCCAAAATAAGCCCTAGTTGTGAATGTCACTAGTTCGCTAATTTATTTTTGGGGAATTTTCTATTGACAGAGATTCGCAGGATTCCATGAGCTAGTAAGCTAACTATGTTTAAGGGAAGTATCCGCGAACATAGATTCACGGGATTCCATGCCCTAGTGAACTGATCTATGTTCGGGGAATTCCCCTGAAAGTAGACCTGCATTCTTGCACATGCTTGCTACCGTTTTCCCCCCAAAATGAAGACATTCCACGAAAATAAACCCTAGTGCGTTTTTCAGGGCAAAAATTTATATAAGACCCAGTCTTATTTTAGGGGAAAAAACGGTATATGACAGGACGTTCGAACGGCAAATGAAGCAATGCAAGAACATAGGGGAGTGGTGAGTATTGTGGAAAAATTTCTTTGACCACAGGAAATGGAGTGAACTTAAGATCCTCCTTTGGTCAAAAAAGGTTGAGCATAGAAAAAATACATAAGACAAAGTAGTTCCTTGCTTTGTTTAATGTTTTAAAGAAAACTAGATCAGAAAGAAAGAAAAGAATAACAGATTCTAAGAGAGGAAGAGAAGAGGAAACAATTGGAGAAAGGAGAGTTTGGCATGACTGTGCCAAACTTTAATTCTGGGGATGAATGCATTATATAATTGGTAATTAGGTAAATTTTTGAAATGTCAACATATTACGGATTACATACTATATGAAACTGAAAAGAACAGATACTACACTTGACCAAAATGCAGAGAAGCGATAACTGATTACACACTATACTGCATCTCCGTTTCTACGTAGAGAGATTTATATCTAACAAGGCAAAGATCTGCCTCATGTGCAGAGAATTACAGTTAGTGTTTTGTAACGCGTCCTCCATATGTATAACATAGATCGGATAAACAGACAGATAGAATATCCATAAGAGGAATAATGATTAATTATGAATTATGAAGTTCTAACAGCAAATATACAGGTAGTCATTTCAGATTAATATCCCTGTTTAAGTAATATGGTGCTAACATTTAGCATATAAAACCAAAAACAATGTAGACTTATAGAAACTAGTGAGTAAGTCAGAAAGATTACTTATTGTTTAATACATACATATGCTGCTTTTATCCTCATTGTAGGATTGTTTGTATAATTGTATTTGTTTTATTGGTCCCTGAGGAAGTCTTTTGTGAAGACGAAACACATAGGACCTAGTTTATATTTTATTTCACTTTTTTTCCTTGCACAATAAAGTAGAGCATATTTCTTGAAATTCCCTCAGTCAAGTCTTCCATTCCCTGGTGATGACATCATAAGCTGAGAAGGAATCTTTGATACACCCCCCCATCCCCCAAACATTCTAAGGGGAGGCACTCTAAGGCGACTTAACACTCCTTGATCTCGTGAGTGCATTCTTATCTGGCGCATATAACTCTTTGTTTACCGTATTACACTATTGTACTTTTTGCTTTTTCTGTAGGCAGTCCGCTATATCCTCCACACTTTTGTTTAGTGCCAACATTTGGCTGCACTCGTGACAGGCATATTTCAGAGCTAAATAATTCAAACAAAACTGAATAAAAGAATGTGCACATTCAGTTCAGAATTGGCAGGTACGTTCTTTCAGCAGGGGAGATCAACAATCTGAAAAGCTAATTTATTTCTAGGCACTAAAGAGCAGATGTCTGAAACAGTATTATGACACAAGTAATGCACAATCCCATCTAATTACTATCTTGTCATTCATTCTTAAATAGCATATAGGGCAGTGCAATAAATAGAATTACCTTATATAGGGCTTCAGGACCCTAGCAGTGTACGGGCTGACAATGCTGAGATCTGCTTCCATGGCTTCCGATGCCCCCAGGCGATACAAGAAACGAGTATTTGCCTGCCGAAAGCTCTTTGTAGATGGCAGCGTGTTCTACGGGGAAATGAATTTTAACCCGATTTCATAAATCTATTTCAAGCAGTATCAAAGTATCAATTAACACATTTTACAAACTGTGTGTGCTAGACTCCAGCAAGAACACATGTACACTATGAAAGAGACTAAACAGTGGTCTGTGAACAGGGCTGTCATTAGCCAATAGCAACTGTGTTGTAGCTTAGTTCCATTCATCCTAAGTGATTAATAAAATTGCTCTGAAATGCTGAACTACAAATCCTATAAAGCTTTTCCTGGTAGATGTTTACAGAATTTGTTCACCTCCCGTTGAACAGAATGAATTGCTGAGCCACTCGTTTGTGTGGGCAGTGCTCAAGCACAAATCTGGAAAGGCCTCAGATTTAAAAAGTTCTATCTTAATGCATAATTAATGTGTTAAAATGTGCGTCTGTGCTTCCAGGGGAAAGGTGGACACAGTATAAACACAGGCTCCGGCCTTGATAGGCATGCTGTTAGTACGGATTCTGGTTATTGTATTGTTATGCTATTACCACAGAGACCTGCAAGTCTCATTGCTACATGCTTGTTATTTTCCATGACGAAAAAAAACAAACCCCACAATAAAAAATAAAAAAAAAATAAAAAAATTTAAATGTGCGTCTGTGAGGAATCCACGTCCAGTATGGAATGTCCCTTTAAATTTTTTTTTTTAAATTGGAATGTGACCCAACTAAAGTGCAGCCCATAAAATTTGGACTGTGACACCAGATTTGTAATTTTGATATGCATGCCATTATAGGTAAGAGAAATAGCACTATATTTACTAAAGTGTGAATTGTAAGGAATCCATAGTGAATGCAAAATTATAGGCCAAAAGAGAAAATTTCAGAGAGCGAACCCTGACCTCCATGCTGATCAGGTGCATATCCCAAGAGCTCCAAAGAAAAAGCCATTAATTCTGCCTTTTCAGACACTTATTGTCTGCATTTTACGTGACTGAAGCTACCTTTCAACCTTGTGGGCTCTAGTGGAATTCACCCAGCTGTGGTTCCAATCACGTTTGACAAATCTGGCTTGGGAAAGACTTGTGGCCTTCTCCCGAATGGTGAGAGGGAAGCAGTCAATCCCTCTACTTTCTGATTCTTGTAATCTGCAGGGATTCAATCATTCCCTATGAAGGGGAACCTACTCAAAGTGAACCAATGAGGTGTAAGCCTAGGAAACTCCAGCAACGTAGGCTGGGGGAAGTTTGGGGGCCTATATCGATATCACTCTTGCCGAAGAGAACTTAGACCTCATAACTACCGGGCAACTGACAACTATTTGGCAAAGATGTCAGTGCAGCAGTCTGAGTCATCATTCATGCCCATCTTTTCCTGGGACTCCCTCATAAAGGCTACTTATCTTGCAGGACTGCAGTGTTCCCTTAAAGGGCATGGGTTGACCAGGGATCAGTGAATGGACTGTACTGCCTTCAAACCCTCCTCCGACTGGGACATTTCTCCATAGTCATACAAGCCACTTTAGGCTTATGATTTACATCACCTGCATGTGTTTTGTCTATTCTTTTTTGTTGTCTTTATTCTGACTACCTGAGCATACCATGCAATCTCACTTCTTATGTTTTGTATTAAGCACATTGTCTCTACATGATGAACAAAAACAGAGTTATAATTTGTTACTAGTATTTCTGATGTTACATTTGTCATTTGATCCTAGTAACGCCATGTACTCTGTCTTTTCTGCAAACACCTCAATAAAAACATTTAATTAAAAAAACAAACAATTTCAACAAGTACATTTTCAGTTTGGTTCTTTTGCCATAAATGCAGAGATTTACTCAGAACTTATTTTGAAATCCTGGCAATTCACACTTTAGTGAACAACTGTCTATTTCACTTGCTTATGATTGCATTAAAAAAAAGTCTAGCTAAAACGTAACAGAAGAAACATACCTCTTTAAGGAGGGACAGTAATCTTTTGGGCCTTAAATCCCCTGCCCTTCTTTACTTACCTGGATGCCCTCCTTTCTAATGATAACAGAGCTTAACACAGCCAACAAATCTTACCATATAGTGTCTTAACTGCACTAAATGTTTTACTGCATTATTTCGTCTAAACAAAATACCCAATATGCCTTCTAAATAACAAAACTAACAAAACATATCTATCATCTAATCAGGAATGCAACTTAAAATTAATGTAGGAACACCATCTAAAGAAAACAGCATTTTTTTTGACGAATGGAAACGGGATGCATGCAGCAATCACGAACACTGCAGATATTTCCAATTTTGTGTTTGAGGTATTAGAGGTCGAAATATAAGTCTCACGATTCTAGAACTAAATGGCTGAAGTTTTTATTTTTTTTATTAAACAGATATAATTCTAATGTCACTGTATTGATTTTACCTTGGAGATCCCTTACCTGGAACCTGTCCAAGATCCTCAAGTCCTGGCTTGATGTCTGAAATGCCGGACCAGAGGACAGCTGTCTACTGACAGATCCTTCTCTTGCTCCATACACCCCACCTACGAGGAGTAGGGCAGCATTCACAGCTTGATCCAAGTCAAAGAGAGGCATTCCTCGTTCACGTTTTGCTTTACGTACAAGCAGCTTGCGCCTCAGTCTCCTGGCTTCAGGAGTAACGGCAACTGCATTTGGGCAGGCTTCGAGGCGTTTCAAAAGCAACTTCTCTTCATACAGACTTAAAGTTTTATACTGTGTGCTTTTGGGGTTCTCTTTCTCAATAGGAAGAGGTCTCCTTTTGTCATGTCCTCTTTCGATAGAAGGCTCATCAAGTAAATCACACTCCATCCGCTCTGCTCGTTCCTCTTCACTTTCTATCTCTTGTTTTATCTGCATAGATGTCTTAACCTTTTTTCGACCCATAGTACCTCCACCTGGTGGCACATTCTGAGGTGGTATATATTCAATCCCTGGATCAATGACACCATCTGCATCCATGTCCTCATCGTCTGTGTAAAAGCAACATCACGAAAACACAACTTAGACAATGTAAAGTTAATCTTCCAGAATGAATTATAACACAACCCTAAACTGGAAACCAAAAACAACATTAATGCAATTTTGCATCTTTGCTTTATTAACAATATTCTAATCAGTTCAGCATGATTTACAGTAAGTCCCTTGTAGCACAATACCCTCATGTTTGGGTACTTCTTGTAGCCACAGCTTTCGATACTGACCTGGAGAAAGTGAATGTGTGATGGAAGACTCATATTAAGCTTAAAACGTAAGTAATTACAATAATGCCAACACATCAAGTAACTCTATGACCTAGGATACAGATCTAGTTTCCCAGGTCATTGTCGAGGGGCATGGTTACAAGTGGAAGGAAAAGCACCCAAAAACACCCTAAGACAGCCTGGTCACATCTATATTAGCTACACACTGCCAATAAAACCATCTAATCCAGTCACAGAAAGGCAATGTTAGCAAAAGTGAGCTAAAAATCTAATGCCATATAAAAAGTTGATCATGATGTTAATGGTAGACGTATTGCCCTTGAGTTGCGCACTTAAACCTTGTGCTGAATGGAAGTCAAGAGGATTGTATTAGGATGTAAGATACTTTTACAATTACTTTTAAATGAGCTACCTCAAGTGTTGTGGTGTGGGAAGCACTGGACTGCATTACTCACCATGAAACAAAGCTTGTGGTGGCATGACATCAGGGATGAGATCAGCCTCCGAAAGTAGACTTGGGGTGGCTGAATGAGATGCAGGAGTACCTGGAGCAGAAAAGTCCAAGGATGGAGAAGGAGATGGGCTTGTTGTAGGACTCCTGTCTGAAGAACTCATGGATGAGAAGTCAATCATCTCCCCCTTCTCAAGCATAAAGTCAGGTCGTTGTCTACTGGAAAGCTTCACAGGAGTGGAAGATGTGCTGCGGTCGGCATAGCCTGCAGCCTCTTTCTGAGCTCTTCTTATGTCCTTGGCTTCCTGAGTGCGTGATCTTTTCTCCTTCAGTTCAATGGCAGACTCCACAGGGTTTCGACTTGCTCTCTTTCGGAGACCTTCCACAGTGATGACAGGCTCCAGAAGGGGTTTTATAGGAACTGGAGACACAATGCATCTACATGACTGAATGTAATACAAGCCTTGTCGGGCACTTTGAAAACCGCGTTCTTATGAAACAATGTGTTGTGTGCCCATAATTATAAAAATTAATCTAAACATGGATTTGCTCTCTCTATGGCTAAAAAATAAATTAATCTATAAATCGTGCTAATCAAACTGCCAGCATTGTATATATATTAGCTGTACATAATCTTAATGATTTATCTCGGTGGACTTCTGTGCAGCTGGCAAGCTGTGAGCATTGAATTAAATGCCTGCCTTCCAAGTGACAAGACAGCAATGAGAAGCCATGAATTGTGCGATGCCTATTGAGTCATTAGGGGGGTAGTGGATGTATTAACGGCCACTCCTACCATTCAATGGAATTATAGTGTGAGTAGAGGAAGCAAACTTTGGGTAGGTATATTTTTTTATCTATTCACCTGCTGGTGAATTTACCACCCTACAGACTACATCTGTAACTATTTGAATATGAACTTTTCACACAAACTGTGTGGTCAGTTTTACTTTAACCCCTTAAGGACACATGACATATATGTGACATGTCATGATTCCCTTTTATTCCAGAAGTTTGGTCCTTAAGGGGTTAAAAGTGAAGTTCCTGGGTGCTATGATGCAAGATTTTGTCTGGGTGCTATGATGCAAACATAAATGCATGCAGAAAAATAAGGGTAGATTTTTCTAAAGTTTTTTTAAAGGGCATTATGGCACCTTGGTGCCTGCAGTTATTAAAATAAATCAAACCTACCTTATATACATTTAAAATGTCAACATGCTAGAAATCTAGGTGAAATATACATTTTGCTCTAAAATATTTTTAAATCCTGAATGTGATCTAAAGAATTATTTAATCTGTACACAAAGTCACTATTTTATTATGTCCAGTCTTTTATGTACCTGTCACAGAAATCTCTAACATTGTTATAAATAGAGCTTCTTTGTTTCTGATATTCAGGAGCAAAGCTAAATAGGTGCTAATTGAAGACCCCACTATGTGGACACCCTGATTGTTGGAATACAGGAAATGAAAACTCACCTTTATACAACCTGATCCTAAGTGCTCCAAGAACAAAGATTGTTTGGTCTATTTTGTGTGAAATTTACTATAATTGTTACATTGTGTTACCGAAGTCGTACCCATGTTGTCCACAGCAGCAAATAGGAGATAGAAACTAAAGCACTGCTTTTATTATATAAAAATCTCATTAAACAAAAAAATAAGCCTGAAACAAACTGGGCTCACCTTGGGTGTTTATATTCCTGTAAGTGCAAGCAGGGAGACTTGGATGCAAAATTGTGACTTTTTAATCTATTAGTAAAGCGATTAGTCTTAATTAGGGACAAGAAGGTGATACCAAGTCAGTACCAGAAGGTGTGGCTACAAGAGTCAGCAGACAGACCAAAGATTTTTTACAAAGCAAAAAAAAAAATGGTAGTTGGTATGCAAACCCAACCTGAATCATTTCTTGCAGCTATGAACACAAAACAATGTCTACTCGAGATGTTACGGTTCATAGGATGGAATACACAAGTTGAAATTAAAAGAATCATCTTCAATATTATGCAGAATTGTATAGGAGTCCTTCCCCATTCATCTGCCATGGCTATTAGGTTTTAATATCTGCTTCAAGCTAGAATGGCACACACTGCTCGTGCTCTTTACTAAGCAGGCTGCATTAACACAGTGTTGCCAAATCTAGGTTGTACTTCCAACAATCTCTTCTCATATTTAGACTGCTCTACTTGCAGGCAGACATGAAAACCTACGAATACTAACAGAACAGTTAAAAGATGTACTAGAAAGAGCCAAGAATTCCGAAAAGGTTCCTGTTCACATATGAATGATACCCAAGAGAGCTTACCATACAGGGTGTTCACTAAAACAAAGATTATATCCTTTGGACTTTATCGTCTTAGTACCAAGAAATGACTGTACCTTTTGTCTTCTGAGCCGTTGTGACGTACTTTTCTCCATCAGGTTTCAGAATAGGGGGTTTATTGTGGACAAGCTTCCACCATCCTGGCTCCCCAAATTCTTGAGCTCCAGACCGGAAGAACAAGGGACTGCCTACAGACAGGCACCCTGCCACGGTGCTCCACCAAGTAGATGTCTTCTTCCTGAGCGAAAGAGAAGGAAATAACCAATGACAGATGGAGGTCATTGAACAAAGCAATTAATATTCAAGCTTTAGACCTAGTTATAGACACATAGATGGCATTACACAGTTTAAAAACTCTTCTGCAACCTGAATTGAAGGAGCATGTGAACAAAAAGTTGAGCAGTAACAAATTTTTTTTACAAATAACTAAACAAACCCTAAAGTAATAGAGTAAAGAATATCTAATTTGGTACGAATATTCTATGGATGACATGTTCCTTAACGCAAGAGAAGGGTAAAACAATGAGAAAAATTTACTTTGATGGAGTTAAAAATGTTTCTGCCAGCAATTTTAGCTTTGAATTTTATAATTACCTTCCAATATCCGCACTGTATCCCTAGCAGTAAAATAATTTGTCTGCTCATGCAATACACACAATATTTTTTAACACTGATGGTCATAGAGGATCCAGTCTATCGTTTCATGATCTACACTTTCAGAACGAAGAAGTGCAACAGTGATATTGCATGGCCGTAGAGTAAAGCAGGGCTACTATTTATGAACAATATAAATCAACAGATGTGTTGCCGTAGTGCTGAAACTTAGCAGCCCATCTACAGGTACAACTAAGAAAAAAAATTCACAGTAAAGAGGATATACTGTGAATTCTACCAAGCATTTTCCAATGCAGTATGTATATAATTCACTGAACAGGTCTCTTGTCACTGTGTGATCTCTTACGAGAGACTCATCTGTCTATGAGAAAACATAAGCCAATCGGTAGTCTCTCACTAAAGCTGGAGGGAAAAACTCTGCACACAAATCCATATTAAGTTATGGCATCATACTTAAATGTGCACTTCATTTAACAATTATACTGTACTAAATGATAAGCAGTTGGGTTTCTGTGAATTGTAGTTTACTTGTTCGTTTTCCACAAAGCTCAAACCAGCAGTTGATGAGGGTACAGTTAAAATAGAAAGGGTTTTTTTTGTTTTGTTTTTAAAGCTTATTAAATATATTCAAGACTTGATATTTTATAAATTATGTATATTGATTTATTTGAGAAAATTTAACCTCTTTATCTGGCTGAGCAGACACATTGGGATTCTACAGTTACCTGATCAACTGATACTTAAAGCGGCACTGTCATGGCTGAAACCCCCCCCTTTAAAAAAAAACCCTTCCCAACTCCACTACATCTAATTGTCCCCCTAGTGACCCCAAATGCCCCTTATTTTCTGCCCGGACCTATCTTTGTGTGGGTAGACGAAGTCCCTGTTGGACACGTCATCTGCCCACACTAGATAGTGTGGTGAAATTCCTGCGCATGCCCAGTTAAACACTTGGGCATGCGAACGGGAATTTAATCTATTCATTAATTCGTCAGAAAAACGAATAAATGAAAAGAAATTTCAAACTAATTTTCTCTTCGTTCGTTCGGTTTATTCCTCTTTGTTTGTTCAGTTTATTACAAGGAGGGAGATCTCTTCATTCGGTTTATTACAGCTCCGTCCTTGTAATATGTAAAAATAGAAGCAGCAGGGAGCAGTGCCCACTGCCACTTCCTAAGCCCCCCCATGTCCGTCCTCACTCTATGGGGGTCAATATGACTTGGCATAAGGGAGATTAAAATCTCCCGAATGCCCCTACTCACTATGCCGCGAGTAGGGGAATGTATACTAAACAGTGAGCAGCACTGAACAGTGAGGGGATACCTTTCGTCCTCCCCGCCGCCCCGTTTCCCACCCATGAGCGGTGGGTGGTAGCCCTAAATAAAAAAAATTTAAACAGGGGGTGGGGGGCGGGGAAATCACCGATTTTATTTAGCCTCCATGTGTCACCCATGGGTGGGGAGGGAAGGGGAGAATAGGTAGTCATTAGAGGTAGTCTTAGCAAAGTAATTATTGAAGTTTATTTAAAGCTGCAATGGTTAACATTGCAGGACTAAGGGGAACAGGGACACTGCATCCAGACCACTTAAATGAGATGAAGCGGACTGGGTGACTATAGTGTCCCTTTAAGGTAGGATGGATACCAAATCAGAGGATTAAAAAGACTGGAATAGAATTATCTATCATAGATTGACCCTATGAGAGTCAGATGAGATTGCATAAGAAAGGTGTTTAACATCCAGTCAGGACCGAGAAGGTTAAAGAGAGAATGATGTGAGTTTCCACATTAAGGTCCATCTTAGACTTACCGACTTCCCAGAAGAAACGTCCAGTGTTTCTCAATGAAAGAACAAATGTCTTCCTTCCATCGAAAGTAACCCATTCGACCCGTTCCTTCCAGAGACAGATTGTACATAGCCAGCATGACAACCTAAAACAGGACAGTTGTTTATCAGTGCAGAGACTCTCAAAACCTGATGCAGCTACAAGTTTGCCTGTCTTGAACCAGATATCAGAGGAAGATTTGATCTGATCTGAACCAGAATCTATCAGGCATGGGAATCTAAGATGCTCCTTAACACAAAATGTATTATTAACATCAACCACATGAGAATTTTTTAAAAGTAGAAAAGAACGCTCTAAAAGCACACCAAAGTTATGGAACTCAGCTGAAGAGGAAAACTACACGATTTTACAAGTTTAGTGGAAGCGGGGCAGGTTATGTGACTGCACTGAAGAGAAAGATACATTTGTGAAGGGAGATTCATATAAGAAACTAAATGTATAAAGAAGAAGCCAACTAGGAAAATGTACTTGTGATTTGCATTGCAGCTAAGTGACACGTTTCACTGGACAGGTGAGTTTTTAGAGAGTATTTAAAACAATGGAATCCGTGGAAGGGGCTTGTCAGAGTGAGGAAGGGGCTACCACCGGATAGGCGCAGCATCGGAGATGTGATAATGGAGGACATATAAAATAAAGTCACGCACACAAAGAGACAGCTTAGGTTGAGAATTCAAAGTGAATTTCAAACTTGAGACCAGAATAGCTGAACTAAAAGCATAGCTGACAGAGAATTTTCCCAGTTAGGCTGTATTGACCTTAAATTTGAAATTCACTTTGAATCCACTCAGAACGCTCACTTCAGTGAATAATCCTGTAAGCTGTTGATGGGGTTCAGTGGAGGGACCGGCAAAAAAGGGCATTGACGATTTACAGCAGTTACGTTAAATAAATCTAATAATGATTTGGAGACAGGACAAAGGAGTTGAGGTGCAAATCAGTTAAGACAGAGATAGCATTATTATTATTGCCATTTATATAGCGCCAACAGATTCCGTAGCGTTTATGTACATACATATCGGTATTCTGCTGCTTACCTGCTGCCAGGTTAATTTTAACCGCTCAAACTGTTCTTTGCCATCTTCTGAACAGGCAGAGCACATGAATTTGAAAAAGTTATCGCCTTTCAAATAACTTGGTTGATCTCCTCTGAGCTGGACTGAAAACACAAAGATTGTATTTGTTTAGAACATGCGTGAAAAATAATTAAAATGCCACCACAGTGTGACAAGGTTTATTGCAATTGTTTAAGATGCATTTACAAATTAAGGGACTTCTAACAATCAGGCATTTGTTATGTGTCAGAGCAACACAAGGTAACAGTTTTTAGCAGGTTCAGAAGGATATAAATACTAAATGTTTAAGGGAAATAAACATTACAAACATATCTTTTTAAACAAGAAACACATTGTATAGATAAGTAATGACAGTCTGAGGGAAAAGGACAGAATAAATTCAACACTTTTAAATACCTAAACTATAACTATTGGGACAGCAGGAAGCACAACATGTTTAATCAGTACTAACGAATAGAGCATTTTCTACTATTGCAGTCTACTTTTTAAGTTTTGTCCAATTAACATGCAATTGGCCTAGATATATCGTGGCCACATACTGGCCCGAAAGTGATAGAGTTATTGGGCCTAAGAAATTAGTGGTCATTGTTGCCATACTAGCCAATAAGGTCCATATTCCTATCTTCTCACTGTTTTAGAATCATCGCACATGTAAAAATACAATTTAAAATTGTATAATCCTATTTAAAATCCCCTATAACAGCAAACAAATATGAGGATTCACGTTCACCATATGGCCCCAGATTCAGGTGTCCCTTTGGAGGTGGACCATAGGAAGATATAAATTTGGGGAGATTTTGGGTAGTAATATTACTTTAATTCTAATTTTCAGTTGGTATAGAGCAAATATATGACATGCATTGGTAGTATATACATAAAAGCACAATCACTTTATTTAGTTATGACATTCCATTTTTTTTAAATTATGTTTGTCACATTAATTTTGCAATATATATATATATATATATATATATATTCACAATGCTCTAACAACAGATTATTTAAATATACATTATCTTATTTAGCAATATTTGTCTCCAACATTGGAATTCATGTAGGACCCACCGATATTGTTGTACTGTGAAGTAGCGGTGGGTTTAACACAATATGGCCATATAGTGTAACTGAATCCCCATATTTGTTTGTTGAGATAGGTGATTTTAAGTAACCTAATAAAATGTAAAAATCTATTTTATGTGTGTGGTTTTCCTTAATCTGTATTATGTATGCATTTTGGTCTTTAAGGCAGCACCATTCCTGTAAACTGAATGTTTCAGATGTGACCCCAATTCCCTCTGATATTACTACAGAATATAATAATTGACTGTCTACAATGACACTTGTATCTGAAAAACAGAACATATTAAAATAATGACATTGCAAAAGCTGAAAGAACTTAAAGCGGCACTGTCATGGCCGAATCTTTTATTTTTTTAACCCCCCTCCCGCCTCCACTACATCTGGCGCCCTAGTCACCCCCAAATGCCCCTAAGCACCCCATATTACCTATTTTTAATCTTTATTTTCTGCCCCAATCTATATTCAGGGCGCCGCCATCTTTGTGTGGGTAGAGGAAGTCCCTGCGGGACACGTCATCTGCCCACAATAGATAGCACGGAGATTCCCGCACATGCCCAGTGAAACACTTGGGTATGCGAATGGGAATTTCATCTATTCATTCATTCGTCAGAAAGACGAATGAATGAATGGATATTTCAGACGAACAAAAACACTGAGCATCAGTGTTCGTTTAGTTTATTACAAGGAGGGAGCTACCAGCGTGCAGCTCCCTCCTTGTAATATGTAAAAATATAAGCGGCAGGGAGCAGTGCTCCCCACCACTTCATAAGCCCCCCATGTCCTCCCTCACTTAAAATCTCCCAAATGCTCCTACACGCTATACAACAAGTAGGGGCATGTCACTGTAAAAAAAAAAAAAAAAAAAGAAAAAAAACACTATCCGGCCCCCACCCCTGCCATAAGCTTTCCTAAAGAGATAGGTTTTAAGGGACTTCTTAATTGATTGAAGACTAAGGCAGAGTCTGATGGCGGTAGGCAGGCTATTCCATAGGAAGGGAGTCGCCCGCGAGAAGTCCTGCAAGCGTGAGTTGGCCATAGGGGTGCGAGCAGCGGATTGGAGAAGGTCACAGGCAGAGCGGAGAGACCGAGAAGGGGCATACTTATAGATCTGTGAAGAGATATAAGAGGGGCTAGAATTGTTCAGTGCTTTATAGATATGGGTTAGCCCTTTAATTGACTCCTATAGGGTACAGGAAGCAAATATAAGGACTGGCAGAGGGGTGAGAGGACCGACTAGAGAGGAAAATTAGTCTGGTGGCAGCATTCATTAGACTGTAGCGGGGCAATATGACTTTTGGTTAGACCAATTAGGAAAGGGTTACAATAATCTAAGCGGGAAATTACTAGAGCATAGACAAGCTCCTTGGTAGCATCTTGCTTAAAGGACCACTATAGTGCCAAGAAAACAAACTCGTTTTCCTGGCACTATAGGGTTATTAGGTCCCCCCCCCACCCTCAGGGCCCTCCTCCCGCTGGGCTGAAGGGGCTAAAACCCCTTCAGCCACTTTCCTTTCTCCAGCACCGGGCTCCATCGATGCTGGTGACCTCTCCTCCTCCTCCTCCTGTCAACGTCAGCGCCGAATGCGCATGCATGGCAAGAGCCGCGCGCGCATTCAAACCTCCCATAGGAAAACATTACTAAATGCTTTCCTATGTACGTCCATCGTCTTCTCACTGTGATTTTCACAGTGAGAATCGAAGAAGCGGCCTCTAGTGGCTGTTAGGGAGACAGCCACTAGAGGCTGGATTAACCCTCAGTGTAAACATAGTTTCTCTGAAACTGCTATGTTTTCAGTTGGAGGGTTAAAACTAGAGGGACCTTGCACCAAGACCACTTCATTGAGCTGAAGTGGTCTGGGTGCCTATAGTGGACCTTTACAAAAGGGGCAGATACGGGCTATGTTTTTTAGATGGAATCTACAGGATTTGGCCACATACTGGATGTGAGGCTCAAAGGTGAAGCCAGAATCAAGTTTAACGTCAAGACAGTGAGCTTGCAAGGATGGACTTGTGGATACCACTAACTTGAAGGGAGAGTGAAAGAGGAGGATTAGTATTAGGAGGAGGAAAGACAAGGAGCTCAGTTTTAGAAAGACTGAGTTTCAGAAAGCAGGAGGACATCCAGTCAGAGATGGAAGAAAGGCAAGCAGTGACACGTTGCAGTACGGCAGGAGAGCTCTGGGGAGGAGAGATATATCTGGGTGTCATCAGCGTACAGGTGGTAGAGGAATCCAAATTAGGTAATACATTTGCCAAGAGAGGCAGTATAAAAAGAAAATAGAAGGGGACGAAGTACAGAGCTCTGGGGGACTCCAACCGAGACAGGGTCAAGAGATGTTTTTTTTCAGGATAGGCATTAACAGTAATAGTAGAGATAAGAGTCACACAAATATGGGCAAATAGTGTGGGTAGAGATATTACTCTGACAGGACAAGATAGGGTTCCCACCAGGTAACCCCAAATTGCAAGATTAGGGTGAGGTATTAGATAGATTCTAATAGTTATCCAGGAGTAATATAGGATATATACATAATTTGATAAAACCTATGTGGCTCCAGGCAGTGTCTCTTAACCAACCGGCCGGACTGCAGGACCCATACCACACTACCCCTAACCACCAACAGCGTTTCCATACCCTCTTGGTACAGACTGTGAGTGCGATTTTAATATTTACCTTGAAATAAAATTCTTTTATACAGAAAACACTATGGGTTTCTGGTTTATCTTCCCATAGATTGAGGATATTTTAACACTTGAGATCCCCATATATGATCTTTAAGTATTTTTTACAGATGAAAGCAGTGTACAAATCATAAAGAAACATCATCTGAAGAAGAATTCTATTGATTATGTTCTATATCAAAACGCTTGTTTAGCAGATATACCCCAGTTTACATAGTAACTGAAGATAACTGCTATCAGCTAACATTTGAAAGGACTATTTATACAATTTTTATCCAGTAAATATTATACAAGTTGCAACTATTGTGGACTTTAAAACGACTCTTTTTATAACACTAGATTTATTCTATTGACCAGAACTTTTAATACTTCATACCAAATAAGGTTACCAAATGGCATAATAATTGTGAATGCTAATGTAGATAAGCATTGATTTTTTTTATGAGTATTGATCTTTAAAGAATATTGATTTACAAACCAATTCACATAGGTTTTATCAAATTAGGTATATATCCTATATTACTCCTGGATAACTTTTAGAATCTAATACCTCACCCTAATGCTACAGTGGCATGTTTAAGGTCAGCAGGGACAACTCCAGAAGAGAGAGAGAGCAGTTGAAGATGTGTTCTAAGGAAGGCACAAGACAGGGGGAGAAAGATCTGATAAGATGAGATGGGACAGGATCCCTAAAGGTGCTTGTACCAGTGAAGTTTACGTTAGCTTGTTGCGGCGGTGCTCCGTACTGTCTATCTTGAGGCCTAGTGTGGCCTACCTCTCCGATGGGATCCTGCGGGATGAATTGCGGCTGAGTCCTGTGTCCACCCCCCTTGGACCGGTGGGGGTTATCCTGGTCTGTGCTACAACAGCTCGTGGTGCCCCTGTGTCGCATAACTGCACTAATCCCGGAGACCTGCTGAAGCTTTCACCTGAACACGGAGGCTCACTCTAAGATGGCGTACGTAACATTTCCTAACAACTCACCTATACAGCCTGAGGGCGCTCTCCATTACTCATTAGAGCGGTCTCTAAATAAACTGGATGAAATCTTCACCTGCTTCTGGGCAACATTGGACAATCGGATAGGTAGAATAGGGGGCCAGTGATCCTCCTACAGGCAAATCTTATCCTATGAATACTGTTCACTCTTCTACATGCCTATCTAGGCCGAAGGCCACCAAGGGCAAGACCCTGAAGCATCGCCCATGCAGACAAAGGGCTATCCGCTGTCGGCGATACAGTATCACCAAAGCCTTCTGCCCCCCCACAAATGGGTAAGGACATGGACTTCTTAAGACTGAGTCTGTGGCATGCAGATGCCAGCCTCAATTTGGACCTGAGGCTGAAAGGATGCCTGGTCTTACTCCCGCTATGCCTGTATCTCCAGTAGCCTCCTTACAACAACTATGCATTTCCCGAGCCTAGGGATCGGCTGAATGAACACAAGCTAACATATCTCACAAGTTATATGCTCACATTCAAAACTGATGTGTTTTTTCCTGTTATTTTCTCTTGTTTTATTAAAGGACCACTCTAGGCACCCAGACCACTTCAGCTTTATGAAGTGGTCTGGGTGCCAAGTCCCTCTAGGATTAACCCTTTTTTTTTTATAAACATAGCAGTTTCAGAGAAACTGCTATGTTTATACTGAGGGTTAATCCAGCCTCCAGAGCCTCTAGTGGCTGTCTCAATGACAGCCGCTAGAGGCGCTATGCTTCTCTCACTGTGAAAATCACAGTGAGAAAGCATAGCGTCCATAGGAAAGCAGTAAAGTATTTCCTATCCTATGCGACGGCGATGAATGAATCGGTCCCATCGCATCGCGCATTCAAGCGAGCGGAGAGAGAGGGAGGGTACAGCTCCCCGCCCCGCTGGAGAAAGGTAAGTGTTTAACCCCTTCCTCTCTCCAGAGCCCGGCGGGAGGGGGTCCCTGAGGGTGGGGGCACCCTCAGGGCACTATAGTGCCAGGAAAACGAGTATGTTTTCCTGGCATTATAGTGGTCCTTTAACCCTATGCATACCTTGTAATGCGGGTTTACGGTGACATTGGGGGACCTCAAAGTCCGACCCACTATGACTACAAAGGTTGTTATGTAGCACCACTACTCGACTGTACATGACATGTCAAAAATCCAAACTTACAACTCTTGCTTGATATATGTCCCAATCAACAGTTTGATGTAACTACTTAGCCTGTTGATCTATTTTATGTCTCCACCCAGCCATATACTGAATTACCATGGTTTATTTTGTTGTACCTACACTATGCAATATGCCTATCGAAGCTTGTATACTGTTGCTTTAAAAATGGTGCTAAACCCTAGACTTGGGGTACAGAATATATTGAATGTGACAAATACCTTAAATTTGCAATACTCTCCTGTTTGGATGCATTATATTTATGTCATTTAAAAATAAAAGCAGAAAGTAGAAAAATAATTTTAATAAATAAATAGTTGTGGGGGCATGGCCTGGACACAGAGCAAGCTGGCAACCTCAAAGAGAAGCTCTGCTTACTGAAGCCCTGTAGGCAGCATTTGAAAGCAGAGACAGAAGACCCTAGGGGTCTGGCCCGAAGGACAATTCTTTAAGCACATCAGCAGGTCTCTGAGACAGAGCGCATAGCAAAAAAATGGAGCCCTCGTCTTCCATCTCTTTGGAGGCATCAGGAGAACATTCCACCCTCACATTCCCGATGCTTAACAGCGAGTAGAGTAGCATAGGAGGTGGTGTGTAAAGAACAGGGGTCCCACTACCGGGGGTCGCAGCAACATGGCATGCTGGTAGGACGCCTTGGGTATCCTCTCCCTCAACTGCCAGTTGAAATATTACAGAATTCAGATCTACATTACTATGAGAACTTTATCAACAAAGTAAAAGTAGAAAATTACACAGGTGAGTGGAGCAGCCCAGAGGCAGCTTGTTTACAGATAGCGCAGTACTATACCATTCAAACAAAGCAAAAGGTACCATTTCTTCAGGAAACAAATTTTAAGGAAGTTTTAACACCTACTCTGCAAGATAATTCCTTTCCATTATGCTCCTTTGCAAAAACAACCCAAAAGGGCAGGGGTGGCGGTACTTATGTCTACACACCTGGACTTTCAGGAGGTGTGCATCTGGGAACCAGAGGGCAGGTACATCTTCCTCAAGCGTACTGTTACAGAACATTGCAATATGCACCCTGATAAGAGTTTTCAAAGTACCTCTTAGATTCTTTGGTGCACCATAGTGTGTACCTCAATTAGGTGTTAGAATGATAGAGGTTTTAAGGGCCATGCACTTTGTGAATAGTTATAGAGTGTTGAACCCAGGTGTACGGAGCTCCTGTACTCCGACTGAGTACCTCCGTCGTCCTACCTAGCTGCTATCAGGGATTGTGGAACGCTTCAGCACCCGTTGCCAAAGCTTGACTGGGGACTTTTTTCCACCCTGGACCAAGCTGTAGTTCTCTCTTTCCATGCAAGTATTATTAATCCTGCTTTTGCCTCTTCAGCTCCTCTCCCAGGCAGGTATCCATTCCTTTGTCTACACTGTGACCAGCTACTTGCCTCTCAAGCCCAGCTCTTTTTAACTTGTCCCAGGAATAAGGGACCAAAGCAGATAGCCAAGAGGTCACAAGACTGTTACTGGGATCTCTGAATAAACCAACCAGGACACACAGTTCCCAAATGGAACTAACACAATGCTTTATTTTAACTCAGGATCAGCCCATATGTGCATTACATCAAACTTACGGTTACAAACTTGAATACAAATAACCAAATCAAATGGGGAAAAATACAGGAACATATTTATGATATTAACATACTTGTAGGGACTAGAACATAAGTATAATCCGGGGACTTATATAAAGTTTCTTTCTTATGATCATGGTAATGGTGACTACCGTTACACCAGATTGTTGGGACTATACTCACTACTTGGTCCTCCATGAACACTACACCCGGATCGACTGTTTGTTCAACAAGAGCAACTCCCAAACCTCCAATTGGCAGATTTATACCACTATATGGTCGGACCACAGTCAGATTCAGCTAGTACTAGACTCCCCTTTATAAGCCTAAAGGAGTAGTCGTGGAAACTTAATGAAACACTTTTGCAAGATGCTGGTGTCCTTACTCAGACCACACAAGCCCTAGACTCTTAACGAGACATCGGGAATATTGACATTAACTTTATGAGAGGCTCAAAAGTGTTTAATTTTGGTACATTTAATGGAAATATAAAATACTGGGGTTGATAAAATGCGCACACACACAGGTAGGGCACCAGGGCCTAACATTAGGCTACTATAAGACATTCGGAGCAACTTTGATTCCTAAATTCACAAAGGCTCTTAATCTTACACCAGGTGGACTCTATAGCCGCTCACATCACTAACTACCAAAAGAGGGGAAGAACCAAGAATTCTGCGGAAGCTATAGACCAATAGAACTCTTGAATGCAGATATTAAACTCTGGCTAATCCTTCAAACCACCAGGTTCCAGCAATTCAGTTTGAAATTAATATATGCCCCACTGTGCCAGCCACATTTAATAAGGAGGAAACACGTTTCAGCAAAGTAAAACTTAAAAATTCTACATTTGTATACCTACCAAAAGTTGACCGCATCATTCACGCCTTGATGTCTGCTTTTTAAAACCAATTTACCCAAACAAAAATGTACTGCAGAATAAAAGTCGGCCACTTTAACATATGAAAATTACATAGAAACATAGAATGTGACAGCAGATAAGAACCATTTAGCCCATCTAGTCTGCCCAATTTTCTAAATACTTTCATTAGTCCCTGGCCTTATCTTATAGTTAGGATAGCCTTATGCCTGTCCCACATATGCTTAACCCCTTAAGGACCAAACTTCTGGAATAAAAAGGAATCATGACATGTCACACATGTCATGTGTCCTTAAGGGGTTAAACCCCTTTACTGTATTAACCTCTACCACTTCAGCTGGAAGACTATTCCATGCATCCACTACCCTCTCAGTAAAGTAATACTTCCTGATATTTATAAACATTTGCCCCTCTTATTTAAGACTATGTCCTCTTGTTGTGGTAGTTTTTCTTCTTTTAAATATAGTCTCCTCCTTCACTGTGTTGATTCCCTTTATGTATTTAAATGTTTCTATCATATCCCCCGTCTCATCTTTCCTCCAAGCTATACATGTTAAGATCCTTTAACCTTTCCTTGTAAGTTTTATCCTGCAATCCATGAACCAGTTTAGTAGGCCTTCTCTGAGGTCTCTCCAAAGTATCAATATCCTTCTGAAGATACGGTCTCCAGTACTGTGTACAATACTCCAAGTGAGGTCTCACCAGTGTTCTGTACAATGGCATGAGCACTTCCCTCTTTCTACTGCTAATACCTCTCACTATACAACCAAGCATTCTGCTAGCATTTCCTGCTGCTCTATTACATTGTCTGCCTACCTTTAAGTCATCAGAAATAATCACCCTAAATCCCTTTCTTCATATGTTGAGGTTAGGACTCTATCAAATATTCCGTACTCTGCCCTTGGGTTTTTACATCCAAGATGCATTATCTTGCACTTATCCACATTAAATGTCAGTTGCCACAAATCTGGCCATTTTTCTAGTTTACCTAAATCATTTGCCATTTGGCTTATCCCTCCAGGAACATCAACCCTGTTACATATCTTAGTATCATCAGCAAAAAGACATACACAGCCATCACTAAGGACCCTTGAGATAATGTGATGATGTGTAGATGACTTTCATCGTTCATATTGTTTTACAGAAACCAAGGCAGTTCTTTTTCAAGAGATATAAGCCTGAACCTCATGTACGTAATTCGTGTTCAAATCAGATTCATTGTAATAAGGGGTTAAAATGGTCACTTGCTACTAACCAGTCTTAAATGAATACTCTAAGCATCAAAATAACTTAGCTTATAGAAGCAGTTTTAGTGTATAGATCATGCCCCTGGAGTATCACTGCCCAATTATCTGCCATATAGGAGTGGTTTTGTTTCTGTTTATACAGTCCTAGCCACACCTCCTCTGGCTTTGACTCATACAGCCTGCATAAAAAAATAAATTTAAAAAAGTAAAAATAAAAAAAGTTTAATTCTCAATCACAGCATCTATTTTATAAGTTTGTATTTCCTGCAGTGTTAATAGGGCTTTCGGAAGGAGATCACATATTCTAAATTAAATAGAATGTTCGATAAAGGAACATATAATTTAAGATTAGATTCCTCTCTACAGGAAATATGTAGGGAGACTGTGCATTTCACATGCAGGGGAGGTGTGACTAAGGCTGCATAAACAAAGTAATTTAACTGTCAGATTTGAGTAGTGAAACTGCAGGTACATGATCTATATCAGGGGTCCTCAAACTCCGGCCCCCCAGATGTTGCTGAACTACAACTCCCATGATTCTCTGGCTATCTATGTAATTCAAAGAATCATGGGAGTTGTAGTTCAGCAACATCTGGGGGCCCGGAGTTTGAGGAGCTCTGATCTATATACTAAAACCACTTCATTAAGCTAAAGTTGTATGGTTGCTTCTAGTGTTGCTTTAAAAACTACTCACCATTGGAAGCCACAGCACTCTTCAGGTCTAAATTTTCCCTTGCCAATGGCTAGTGAAAATCTTGAACCATGGTTGAGGAAAAGCTGTGCATGCACATTAGCGAGCCCCTACTTTCACAAATTTACCAGCATGGAAACAACTATATGGAATATGTATTCCTTACAGGCTACAAAGTACTTACTTGCTGGAATCCATTTTTGACATTTCTCACAATAAAATGGCATTTCTTCCAACCATGGCGAGTCCACCTCATCACCAACATCACTGTTTAAGGAGTCACCACTCTGATCATGAGACAGATCAATAGATGCTTGGTCTTCTGATTCCACTAATAAGAGTGTCTCTCCTTCCACCTCTCCCTCTTCCAAGCCTTCAGAGGTGGACGTCCTTGTGGCATCATCATCAACATGAGTCATATGGGCATCCATCTCACACAGAAAAATACCAACTAGTCCTTCAAGAAACCAATATCAATGTACCTAGCAGTTTACAACATTAGACTCTAAGAGACCATGAGCATGCTCTAGAGTCAAATCTAGTATAGCATTGAACTAAAGATTATGGTGCAGTTGTCCAATATGCAAAGTTCCTTAAATGAAGAGAAATGAACTGAAAAAAATATATATACATATAAAAATAAAAGGTTGGATGATGTTGAAACTTAGGTAAACATTTGCAATAATGTTGAATTTTTTTAACATCCCAGCTTCTGTAATTTTTAAGATTTGTTCGGCCTTTCAATTAAGATCATTTTGTCACGTTGAGCCTCAAGCTGTCTGGTCAAATTAATCTGTTCCTCTAAGAGGCGGAGGTTTTCCTGTTTACGATTCTGTCTTTCAATGTCCCGATAAACACCCTCACGTAGTCTCTGAAAACCAAAAAGTTGGACAGTTAAACAAATTTTACAATTATTTTTTTTTTTACAAATGCATTTATATTGTCATGTCTACAAATTTTATTTAGTAACTGTTGTGGTTTTGAATTATAGTAAAAATAAAATTCAATAGAAAATTTAATACATCATTGTGGTCCATCAGGAGCCAGTCTTTTCTTCCACTGAGAGCAGGAAGCTCCGGCAAAGAGCTTCTGTTAGCGGTCCTAAGCTCATTGGCTGAGAGCGTCAGTTGACTGCTGTCAGCCACTAAACTAAACCCTAGGTAGCTAGCTCAGAGAAGGGAGCATCCGGCTCTTGAAGCTGGGGGTCACTGACATGTCTGGACCCCAGGAAAATTCTAAGTGCCAGGCCACTCCTGGCACCATAATCACTACGCCACGGTGGAATGTAACCATGTAGTTTCACCTTTGGATGCCATTTAGTTTCTCTGAAAAGATACAGGGTGGCAGAATGAAGAATATTAAACTAAATGAGCATCTATTCATGATGAAGATTACTGTTGGAGCAAAAGAGGTGAATTTAAAACATAAAGCAGGATTTATGTGCAAATGTTGGTTTGTATTGCTCTCCAAAGTTAAAGAAACATTAGCTTGTGGGTATTTGCAAGGTTGGAAGGAATGGAGGTAAAATGCTATTGACTTATTTTGTTTGAAGTTTAAAGCTGACTTTGAATGCTCCCTCATCCAGAATAACAAGTATACCCTCTGATACTAATTAAAGAGTTTGGCAAAATGATAGAAGATTAAAGGACCACTATAGGCACCCAGACCACTTCAGCTTAATGAAGTGGTCTGGGTGCCAGGTCCACCTAGGATTAACCCTTTCTGCTGTAAACATAGCAGTTTCAGTCTCATTAACAGCCGCTAGAGGCGCTTCCCACTGTGATTTTCACAGTGAGAAGATGCCAGCGTCCATAGGAAAGCATTGAGCATGCGCATTCAGCCGATGACGGGGAAAGGAGGAGGAGAGTCTCCAGAACCGAGGGAGCCCGGCACTGGAGATTGGTAAGTGTTTAACCCCTTCTTCTCCATCCAGCTCGGCGGGAGTGGGACCCTGAGGGTGGGGGCACCCTCAGGGCACTATAGTGGTCCTTTAATTGTATTGCACCTTAAAGGACCACTATAGTGCCAGGAAAACATACTCGTTTTCCTGGCACGATAGTGCCCTGAGGGTGCCCCCACCCTCAGGGAACCCCTCCCGCCCGGCTCTGGAAAGGGGAAAAGGGGTAAAACGTACCTTTTTCCAGCGCTGGGCGGAGAGCTCTCCTCCTTCGTTCCGCCCCGTCGGCTGAATGCGCACGCGCGGCAAGTGCTGCGCGCGCATTCAGCCGGTCGCATAGGAAAGCATTTACAATGCTTTCCTATGGACGCTGGCGTGCTCTCACTGTGAAAATCACAGTGAGAAGCACGCAAGCGCCTCTAGTGGCTGTCAATGAGACAGCTACTAGAGGATTAGGGGGAAGGCTTAACCCATTCATAAACATAGCAGTTTCTCTGAAACTGCTATGTTTATTAAAAAATGGGTTAACCCTAGCTGGACCTGGCACCCAGACCACTTCATTAAGCTGAAGTGGTCTGGGTGCCTAGAGTGGTCCTTTAAAGGAACAGAAGTCTTTAGTCCTAATCCTTTAGTTTAGTTATAGAGCCATTCTCCCTTTTTCCAATTAATTTTAATAAATTAATGCCTTTTACTTAACTTTTTATAGTACCGAGGCCCCCTCTGCGCTGTTTACCTAGCTTCCTCTTGCAACGTCAGCGATGGGCCAACCAATGCTCCAACTGGAGCTTGAAGGACCTTATGCGCATGCATGCGAGCACTATGCACACTTTTGAGCTTCCCCTACGGAAAGCACTGTATAAAGGCTTTCCTATGTTTACTTCCATGTCATCTGACAGTTTTACTTGGTCAGGGCCACAGAAGCGCCATTAGTGGCTGCCAGGAAAACAGGCACTGGAGATGCAGTTTCTTTACAACAACAAAAAAAGGAGGCTTAAAGGGACACTTTAGGAATCCAGACAACTTCATTCCTTAGTCCTGCAATGTAAAACATTGTAGTTTTAGAGAAACTGCAAAGTTTACATAGCAGTGTTTAGACTGCCTCTAGTGGCTACCTGCAATTTGATGCCGTGAAGTGACGCTGGACATGAAGACCTTCAACGTGTTAAAAAAACAAAAAAACAAAACAAAACCATAGTAAAATACTGAGTCAATGATTTCCTATGGGGAAAGGCCTAATGTGCATTAGGTTACCCCCAATCACTGACGTTGGCGGAGGAGGAGCTCAACCCAGCGCCGAGGGACATCAGCACTGGAATCAGGTAGCTGAAAAAAAGTGTTGGGGGGGCGGGTGGCGAGTTGCTATAGTGTTAGGAATACAGCTTTATATTCCTAACACTATAGAGTTCTTTTAAAGAGAACAGGACAACTGAATCCAGGCTAGAGTGTCAGCTGAGCCTTTTTCTCAGCCAACCACTGCCCCAATCCATGACATAAAGAGATATGGCACGAGGAGGTAGCATACCTCTGCTATTTTGTTATCGGAGACTGGGCTTCGGACTGTGGGGACCAAGAATATCAACTAAACAAGGAGTAAGCTTCTTTTTTTTTTTTTTTAAGCAGTGAAGCATGAGCTGGCCCTCCAGGTAACATAACCACTTCAAGACATTGCCTATAGTGTTAATTTAATAATTGCTGCTCTAAGAAGTGGCATGCTAAGTTTGGCAGGGCAGATACACTGCAATGCGTTCTTGACGCCCAGACAGTCGTTTACACACATATGTCCAACCTGTAACAAGGCAATGTCACAAAAATAATTTAGCACAGTTCTGCATTGGTGTTTCAGCACTTACAGTTAACAAAAGTAACAGAAAGGCCTAAACCCATTGAACGTGGTGGTAACTTGTGCAAAGATACGTTGTAAAAGTAAATGGAGTTCCAAACAAACATTTTCACATTGTATTACTGTAGATTAGAATATATTTCTTTTTGATTTGTATAAATTTTTTATTTTTCAATTTAAAATTTCATCCATATACACACTTTCATAGAAAAATATTATTAGAATTAGAATATATTTCTGCAGGCACTGTAACCCTGTAATGCATGTCCCACTTTAACCCACCTGGAGTTAGAGAACATATCACTACTTGATATATATAATAAATCATTATAACTAGTTATTCAGAGAGTCAGGCCATGAATCCATGCACTCACTGAATATTTAATAATGATCACATAATGACAATCCTGAATCACCCAATACAATAAGCGTGCTCTTTGTTGTCCTGATTCACACTGTGTCCCCATGCCTATACCATGCACCTCCCCATCAATACTCAATCCAGATGACCTTTATAAAGTACGTAGAGCCACAGGGGCCAAAATAGTGAGAGTTGCAGGGCGCGGGATTCGCGTCCTTGACACCCACCTCTCTATCCAGCTTCTGCTTCATGTGGACCCCAATAACCGTGGCCCCGGACAGGAGGACCGAGATTCCAAGGACCACCTTGGATCGCGTAGACATGCTTACGGCTGCGCAGTGCAGTATGGGGGCGTAACCACGGTGGAACGCAAAGACCGGAAACCGACACCGCTGACCCGGAAATAGCTGAGTTATAGCTGTAGATGGAGCCTGTCCTTTCTCAGAATAGGAAATAGATTGCTAGTTCCTATCCTTCTAAAGGACCTTTTTGCCCCCTAGTGGTCAGGTCCTGTATAGGGATAGGAAATATCCTGCTCACACTGAGAGAGCTAGCTCCTATCCTGCTAAAGGACATATTGCTCCATAGTGTTCAGGTCCTCTTAAAGGGACACTATAGTCACCTGAACAACTACAGCTTAATGTAGTTGTTCAGGTGAGATCTATAGCTCCCTGCAGGCAATCTAATGTAAACACTGTATTTTCAGCGAAAATAAAGTGTTTACATTGATTGATAGGAATACCTCCAGTGGCCGTCACTCAGACGGCCACCAGAGGGACTTTCTATCATGTAGGGCCCTAAAAAATACGTCTGACGTGTGCAGGAGAGAGAAGGCACTGTGTGCGCGCCTTCTCTGTCCTGCCTGTCATTAGAGTAGAGGGGGCGGGCAAAGACCGCGAGTCGAGCTGTCAGCTCGCAGCCACGCACACTGCGCACATGCGCGGTAGTGCGCTCAGGACTTCAGAGGGCGGCATGGAAGTGTCATTTTGACGAAATAGGGGGCGCAGCTTCACGAGGCTCCCGGCGCTGGAACCAGGTGAGTAAAATCCTCTGCCTGGAGTGTCCCTTTAAATCAGGCTTCGCCAAACTCCGGCCCTCCAGATGTTGCTGAACTACAACTCCCATGATTCTCAGCCTATCTATTTCATTCATAGAATCATGGGAGTTGTAGTTCAGCAACATCTGGAGGGCCGGAGTTTGGGGAAGCCTGTCTTAAAGGATAGGAACTAGACAGCTCACGGTGGGAAATCTAGTTCCTATCTGGCGAAAGGACTTTTATAGCTCCAGCTCACACAGGTCCCATGGCTGCATGGTCAGCCATTAGTGGGCCAGCATGTGTGATTGGCAGGCGGCCTAGTGTGTCTTTTCCTAGGACAGATCTGCCTCTTTTCCAGGCAGGTATGCCCCCTTTGGGCAGAATTCGAAACACAAGTCGTGTCACTGTCCCACTCCCTTTTTCCCCACCCAGAGGTTTCCTACTTTACAGGAAGCTGATGCTGGGGTAAAGCTCCTTTGGGTGGGATGACCTCTAACTAGACATGTGCAATTCATTTCGTTCTGAATGTATATTCGGACGAATTTCGGCAATTTCGGACATTCGAATGCTTACGAATTGCCAAAGTCCCGAATTGCGTAAGTCCCGAATTTTGGAAGTGACGAACTGAATAGCCGAAATTCCCTAATTGCTTAAGCGCCGAATTTTCGGAAGTACCGAACCGAAGTGCTTCGGATTTCTGAAAAGTGGCAAAACAAGAGAGGGAGGGAAAATTACGTGATTGATGACAGGAATCTAGACCAATAAACTAATTCCTGGCATTGGGAGCCCTAACAAATTTTTTGCCCATGCACATCCCTACCTCTAACTTACATTGAATGCACTAGAATGATGGTCCCTACAGCTTTTCTCTATCTACCAGGAGCTCATTAGTACTGATGATCCCGACCAATAAAATTGCAGCAAAGCATCAGCATCTTATAGAGAAGCACTGACTCTAGCTCTTCTCACAGAGAAGAATTGCCTTCTGTTCTGCTCTGACACAAACCAATCAGGAAGAGCACTCTCCAAGATGTCTAATTTACAGTCAGGAGCGTGCATCTTAGCAACTTTTTAAAAGTGCCAGTTTCCCACCAGAGGCTCCAAAGGATTGGGTGGAAATCAGGGAGACTAGAGTCAGCATGCCTTTATTTTGTTGGTATATGATGCCATCAAACTATATCATAGGCATAGAAAGGACCTTCCTAAATCTTTGGTGGTCCTTCATATACTTTGGAAAAGATAACTGACCTTATCACTCCCCCATTTGGCAGATCATTTCCCCTAAATCTATAGGCCCTTCTCCTGTCTAAGCCACTAGACATTTTCAAGATAAATTAAAACACATTAGCTTCTAGAGTAGTATTACTAGTCCAATTAGCAAATATAAAAATTCCTTAATTTACCTACAATTGTCAATACCTACAATAGATTGACAGCCTAACCTCAAATCATTTCACAAGATGGAACACTTAGATTTTTCTTAACAAAGCAATTGTTTCTCCTTCTTGCTAATGTAGATTTCCTTTCTAGGGGAAGGGGGAGGTGCAGAGGGTTTCTTACCCCTTCTTTTTATCTTCATCTGTCTTGCTTTTTCCTCTTTGCCCAAAGTTTCCCCTTCTTCAACAGTTAGTCTATATCAGGGGTGACCAAAAGTTAGATCCCCAGATGTTGAACTATAATTCCCATGATGCTTAGCATTTCTTTTAGAATGGGAAAGCATCATGGAAGTTGTATTTTTTTTTTTTTTTGTAAATAAAACATAAAAAACAAAACAATTACATTTCCAAGATTTTTTGCCTTGAGTATAAAATCACTTGCATAGTTCTTATTAATATTGTATTTGTTATCTTTATCAAGAAGCTAAATATGCGATACATGCGTAAGGCAAAAATCTAATTATAAACCACCACCACAAACTGCCTGACGCCAACCATAGTACAGCATTGCGCCGCAAACCACCCATCAACAAATCCAATCCAGCCCACGAGATCTCCCCACGCTTCCCAGACCTTTCCGCATGCGGCCCATGTGCCACAAAGCACTCCCATAGTCCCCTGCCAGATCACGACCGAACATGCACGCCCCAAAAAACCTTGCCCTCCAAGGGCCACCAGCCAAAACCAGGACCACTACCACTGAGAGAAAGCAGCAGCCACCACGTTCCCAAATACCCGCACCTGCCGCGAGCAGAAAGACCTACATAGCCCAGTAAGGCGCCGCAATGAACGCACCATCGACATTAACGACACAGACAGCTTATATCCCCTGTGCACCACCGACATGTCATCCGACAAGAAGACCCCTTTTTGGGGCCTGAAGCACGTCAACCCCCAAAGTGCCAGCGGCACCCCCAAAGGGAACAGCTCCCAAATTGCCTGGTCGTGCAGAGGGGCCACCCCCCCTATACCGCCATCCAATGTACCGCGCACCAGGAGATCAGCTCGCATGGGTGACAGCACCCTAAGAAAACAGTGCAGTTCTGCACCCCCGTTGAAGCCCCAGCCTGGCTTTTGCTGAAAAATATGCCCCATCAGAATCCCAGAGCAAAGTCGGGTGTCCCAATGGGAGAACGTGGCTGCGGAAGTGTCACCTTCTGCGCCCGAAGAACCTTCCCAACACGCCCCACAGCCCTACAAGCCTACCCCGAGGCAGCCGACCCTCCCCAGAGTCAGAATCAATTCCCAGGCCCAAAACTGAGACAATCCGTCAGGCCACCTTCTACCCTGTTGCAAGCGTCCCTCCTATATGCCCCCCACCCAAAACTCGCTGGTGCGCAACATGTGGATGAGAGGCAGAGGAGTCCGCCGGCTCCACATGGGAAATCCAACCAGCTAGTGCACCAGCGACTTATTCCCTGCCACCATCTGAAATACCCATTCCCAAAGGAACAGAGTCTTGCGAAGTAAGGCAAGAAGTTGAACAGCCCGCCTGTGGACGCAAGCCCCCCTTCCAAAAAAATATTCCAGCAAGTGATGGCCAACCGGACGAACAGGTAGTCAGAGATACCCAGCCACCACTTCCCCTTGGCCATCAAAAGCCTACTTAACTAACTCGACCGCTGGGTCAAATGATGCGCAAGAGACCGAGCATAGCTCCTTATCGATGTCATCATGCCACGACACGGCACGTGGGTAGAAGAGGAGGTGAATGAGCCGAAATTTACCCAGTGCCCCCTTAAGGGACCACCCCAAGCGGTAACATCCGCCAATCCGCAAGAGGGGGCCTGACGAAAGGGCCGCCATCCTGCCTAACAGCACCTTCCCGTCCAGCTGGTCTTGCGCCACCTCAGGGGACCCCTTTGACCCATCCCGGTCCCAGAAAGGAATAAAGAAACCCGACTCAAAGCCCCCACGCCACAACCCAGCAACAGCCCTATCAACGTAGCAGCTCAGCCCAGGCCCCATCACATCCAACCTCACTGGGGTGACAGCGGGCGCAACACCTGTTGAAGCAGACCCCCCTGCCTCCGTAACTCGACCGCTCATGTGGAAACGACACGTAGACCCCCAGGTTGCGCTGTCCTTCACAAAAGAGCCAACACAAGCCTGTCTGTAAGGCGGCTGACGAGGCGGAGGGGTGCCCACTGGTGCCATCATCAGCCGCATCCAGCGAGGCAGGTCCGTCCGAACCCACCATTCACCTGGAATAGCCGCCTCCGCCGAAACTGCCCAACATACCTCCACCCCACGAGTCCTCCGTAGTAGCGATAAGCTTCCCATGTCCCTCCCGAAGTTCAAACCAACTATGTACACAGGCACAGCGATCCCTTGCCGAGTACATCAGCCAGGACGCAGAACGCCCGCAACCAATCGCCAAACGACTCGGCGATATCTCTATCGGCGGCCCCATCCTCTTGAGAAATCCTGGGCAGGGTGCACTGTACCCACCAAGGCGACCAGCCCCACCAAGTACGCCAGGGGCCCGCAGAATGATCTCCTGCTAAGCTGCCGCGAACCATGAGAGGACCCAACGTCCTGATACCCATACCTATGAACTGTGCCTTCCTCCAGTCAGAGCACGAACCCACACTGCTGAGCACGATCCCCAGCATCCACTCCAACTCTCCCAACCTGCAGAAAAACAAGAGAGACACCTACCAGGCTCAGCAAGCGAACACACGGTGCACACAAACTCAGCCTGGTAGGCAAGTTAAAAGTGATTCTTCCAAAATGTCTTCTTATTTATATAACCCAGCCCCTTACACTCCATTAACCAATCCCAACTAGCTTCCTCCTATGCCCGCCTCCTAACCCCTGTCAAGGCCCCTTTCCACTAAGCTGCGCTTTTGCTACATAGGGCTACAGGAGGGATTGTGCTGAGCATCAATCATGCACATGTAAACCTGGTAATTGCCTTTGGGGCAGGGCCGGACTGGCCCACCGGGATACCAGGAAATTTCCCGGTGGGCCGTCGGCACCTGGGGCCGGGCAGACATGTGGGTGTGCTGACGGCCGCTGGAGGAGCTGTTCTGGCGGCCGCTGGAGGAGCTGTTCTGGCGGCCGCTGGAAGCTGTGCTGTCTCTGCTCCCCCGCCCTCGCGCGCCACTGAATGAGACCGGGGCTGGAAAATGACGTCATATTCCGGCCCCGGTCTCATTCAGTAGCGCATGAGGGCGGGGGAGCAGAAACAGCACAGCTTCCCCTGCGGCCGCCAGAACAGCTCCTCCAGCGGCCGCCAGAACAGCTCCTCCAGCGGCCGCCATCCCTGCTCCTCCAGCGGCCGCCATCCCTGTGTGTCTGTGACATGGTGTGTCAGTGTGTCATGGTGTGTGTGGCATGGTCTGTCTGTGTCATGGTGTGTGTGTGTCTGTCTCTGTCATGGACTGTCTGTCGTGGTATGCGTGTGTCTGTCGTGGTATGCGTGTGTCTGTCGTGGTGTGCGTGTGTCTGTCATGGTGTGTGTGTCTGTCATGGTGTGTGTGTGTCTGTCATGGTGTGTGTGTGTGTCTGTCATGGTGTGTGTTTTTACTCATCTTTTTTTTTTCCCCACGCCATGCTGGTCTCCCCTCGACTGGCCCTGCCTCTGTGGCTGAGATCATCAAGATTGACATAGGATTGGCTGCAAAACGCTACCCCAATCAGAATCTCCTCATAGAGATGCATTGAATCAATGTATCTCTATGGGGAACCTTCAGCAGCTCCAGAGCGTGGAGGCCCTGAATGTAGGTGCTGCACACTGTGCAGCACTGACACAGGAAGCACCTCTAGTGACCGTCTCTGAAAAGTCAGTGTTTACATTGAAAAGCCTGCAGGGACAGGCTATAGACACCAGAACCACTACATTAAGCTGTGTGTGTGTGCGCCTGCTAGTGAGCTTGCTTGCTTGCATGTATGTGTGTGTCTGCTAGTGAGTGAGCTTGTGTTTTTATGTCAATGAGCTCATGTATATCAGTGAGATTGTTTGTCTATGAGGCTGTGTATCAACGAACTTATGTGTGTCAGTGAGGTTGTCTGTGTCTGCATGTGAGTATGCTTACTGTATAATTAAACGTTTTACTATGAAAGGACCAATATTTTATATTAGAAAAAGCAATATATATATATATATATATATATATATTACTCAATCATCTGGGGTGGCAAGACATAGCCTTACATATTACATGCAACAATATATTGCACAATGACTTATTGGGCTGGCATATATTTTTTTCCAGGGCTGCTTTGTATCCCCAGTCCGGCCCTGCTTTGGGGTCAGTTAGTATAAACTGCTATTTGGTTTATAACTATGCAAAAACAACTTGAAAGTTCTGACCTATGTTTTCAAGGATAAAACAGGTAGAAACAGCTTTTCAGGATGGGTGTGTCACGCTATTAAAGTAAGCATGTATGATATGCTCTTTATGTTAGGATTGTGGTTTGAAAATATTAAGAATGCTTTCTCAGAAATCAAAGATGAGATCATTATAAAGTAACTGCCTTTCCCTAGATGTACATACCTGTCCTGTTGTGCCTTTAAGGTGTCTTGGTTGATATAATGGAGGACAGAATTAGAAAGTTTATACAATTTGATACATATTTAATATAATAAGATTTCACTGTGCAGTTTTTTTGTTCCGATAGATTACTTTTTTATTTTATTGTGCAGGATATGACCGGTATGTTTGCAATGCCACAATAGCCGTAGAAAGCATGTCCAAAACATACATTTACATGTTGTATGGAGATCAGTTGCACATTTTTTAAGATATAATAAACAAAATTAATAAACAGGATTACTTAATAAAGAAATGCAGCATAACAAAGGAATCAGGCTAATATTGAACAGTGCACAAGTGGTATAATTATGCTTAACTAGCTAGTGTAAGGACCACCTGGCACCGATCGCTTTAGACTAAAGAGAAATATCTGCCCCCATGACAAGAGAGAAACGTTGTTACTGGGGATAAATAAACAGGCTTAGTAGTTCTGTCTGATAGATTAGTAAGTGAGCTAAATCAGGTGTCATGTCACGACACTTACTGCGTATGAAACTGACTAGATAGGTAAGACAGGACCAACATAGATTGTGTGTAGTTACTTGCTAACATACAATAACGTGGCGCAGTGTACAGATAGATTACTTTTAATGACGATCATGTACAATAAATGTTAATTTATTTAAAGGACCACTATAGTGCCAGGAAAACAAACTCATTTTCCTGGCACTATAGGGTCTTTTGGTCCCCACCACCCTCATGGCACCCCTCCCGCCGGGCTCCAGGGGGAGGAAGTGGTTAATCACTTACCTTTCTCCAGCGCCGGGCTCCCTCGGCACTGGGGACTTTCCTCCCTCTTCCGACGTCATCCGCTGAATGTGCGCGAATGTCCGCGCGCACATTCAATCAGTCCACAGGAAAGCATTTCTCAATGCTTTCCTATGGACGGCAGCGTCTTCTCACTGTGATTTTCACAGTGAGAAGCGCGGAAGCGCCTCTAACGCCTGTCAATGAGACAGCCACTAGAGGCTGGATTAACCCTAAAGTACACATAGCAGTTTCTCTGAAACTGCTATGTTTACAGCTGCAGGGTTAACCCTAGCCTAGATCAACCTGGCACCCAGACCACTTCATTGAGCTGAAGTGGTCTGGGTGCCTACAGTGTCCCTTTAATACAGTGGGTTGCCATGGGTAAGTATGTAAATTAAGTACTCACAAGCGGTTTTAAATTAATTTTATACAGAATCACTATTTCACAGGCTTTCACAAATATTCAGGACACATTTATTGATGAGCTAAAACAAGTACGTTGTCTGCTTTAAATCACTCTTTTGGCATCCCATCAATACCCCTAAACCCTGCCCGTTATTCCGAGACAGGTACATCTTTTTTTTTTTTTTTTAATAGTTCATGTAAAACATTGTGGTAACTTTTAACATAAACTCTGCATTTTTGCTGAACACTTAGTAAATCTGATATTTGTACTATATTCCCCAAGTTATGCTCAGGTAACTGTTCTGGGTAAAACAATACCCCATCAATTTGCCTCTATCTTGTTAAGTTACAGTGCCATGTAAGAGACCTGACTTTTTGGTTTTACAATTAAAAATTTAATAGATGGATTTGATGGACCTATTCCTAATTTTTGAGCATTTTTAGCAGTTTTACAGTTTAAATTGCGCTATAAATGTATACCATTTAGTAGATACCACAGTAGATACCACATGGCATGCCATGTGGTATATTTTGAGCCTCAGTGTATAGACATTTTTTCAACAATTTCTTTAAAAGGATAAGACATTATTTTAGTTATGGTTTTCTTTTTTAAATGCATCAGTGGTGGCTCCAGCTCTTATGTTAGGAAAATACATTATTTGCAGTAGTTAAAAACACAAACATTCTTGAGGGGAGGATAGTAAGCCAAAAAATATAGGGGTAAAATAATGCCTCTTTAATTCTGGAATAGGTTTCAGTTCTGCCAGGGCTCTTGGAGAAGCATCGGTTGCTGCTTGGAGAAGTTATCTTAATAGTATCTATGCCAGGGCCTACCTAGACCATTTGGCACCTGGGTGGACCCTGCATATGGCATCCCCCCACCCCCAACTACAAAATGTAAAAATACCCACAATTTAAAAAAAAAATGTTTTTCAGAATATTCTTTACACAAATTTGTCAACTGTATATTAGAAATAGTCCCATCAACGCCCCATTAGAGACTACAATGGAGTCTAATGGGCCCTGGAGAAGGGTCTCTCTAACACTCTGGCCCCCATTTGCAATATAGTAATATAACATAGCTCTCTGATACCCAGCCCAAGTTGGCTCTTCTCACCTTAATTACTGCTGTTGGCTGCTGTGGCTGGCAGACTGCTCCAGCGGATGGTTGGCTGCTTCAGCTGGCTGGATGCTGTGGCCGGTTGGCAGGCTGGCTAACTGCTCTGGCGCTGTCGCTGGCAAGCCTATTTCTTCCCCCTGGAGGCATCTGTTTCTCCCCCAACCCCTTTGTGTGTTTCTTCTCCCCAGCCCTTCTGTGTGTCTGTCTCCCCAGCCTTTCTGTGGGCCTCTTTGTCCCCCCCAGCCCCTTTGTGTGTCACTTTCTTCCCCCAGCCTTATGTATATTTCTTTGTGCCTCCCAGCCCCTCTATGTGTGTCTTTGTGCCCCCTTAGCCCCTCTGTGTGTCTTTGTCCCACCTCAGCCCCTCTGTACGTCTTTGTGCCACAAGCACTTCTGTCTGTCTCTTTGGGCCCCCCAACCCCTTTGTGTTTCTCCTTGTATGCCCAGTCCCTCTGTGTGCCTTTTTCCCCAGCTCCTCTGTTTGTCTGTTTTGTGTGACTGTTTGTGCTCCTTCCTCCTGTGCCTTTCTTTAGCCCCCCCCCTCCCCTCCAGTGCCCTTCCTTTGTCCCTCCCCTCCTGTGCCTTTCTTTTGCCCCTTCTCCTCCCGTTCCCTTATTTTGTCCCCTCCTGTGCCCTTCTTTTGACCTTCCACCCCTCTTATGCCTATCTTTTGCCCCCTCTCCCCTGTGCCCTCTTTAGCCACATTGCCTTTTTACCACCCTCCCCTACTGTGCCCTCTTTAGCCCCTTCACATTCTGTGGCCTTATTTAGACCCTCTTCTCTCCAGTGCCTTTTTTTTTAGCCCCCTCCTCTCCTGTGCACTTGTTAGCTCCCCTCCTGTGCTTTTATTTAGCACCCCTCCCCTCCTGTGCTTATTTAGTCTCCCTCACCTCCACTGTTTAGCCTCTCTCCCATCCACTTTTTAGCCCCCTCCCCTGTGCCTGCTCAGCCTTACCTATGGCGGGTGGTCCGCGTCTGAGTTGCCTCTGCTTCCTGTACCCGGTCTGACAGTAAGCAGTTCTGTGCTCTCTATGAGCACTTCCTGTAAGACCAGGTAGGGGAACAGATGCTCAACTACCGCGGTCTGCCTGCTCGGCCATGTTACATTTTGTGACCGGCAGGAGAGGAGCACTGTGCCCTTATGCGTGGCACCCCGCCCTCCGCTTAGAAAGCCACTATTCCTGACTGTGGGATAGTTATGTTATCATCTTATTCTGCCAGCTCTGTGTTTTATTTATCTGTATTTTACTCAGCTCTACCTGTAGTGTAAGTATCACTGTAGCCTATTCAGCTCTGTGTACTGCATATGTATCTTGGTATTGTGCCCAGCTCTGTCTCTTGTATCTCTATTTCCCATCTCTGTTTGTGGTATGGTCCTTTCTGAATTGTACTAAGTTCTTTTATTTTATAGATATCTTTATGTTGTGCCCAGCTTGTTTTATTCTATGAGCATTTCTACATTATGCTCAGCTTTCGGTATTGTTCGAGTATCAATGAACTGTATAGGGAGGAGAAAAGTTCTGGGGGAGAGGTCTGGCACCCCACCATCATAAAACTTCACCAGACGTGACTGACGAGTACATTGTAATTTAGATGTTTATTTTGTAAACTTGATGTGTGATACTGTAATTTAAATTGTTGTCAGCTTTATTTCAGAATGTCCCCCTTTGTCAAGATTAAAGGTATATCTGGTTCTAACATTATTGAATGAGTTCAAGTTTAAGGTGTATTGAACAGCAGTTTTACTCAGCCTTTTTTGGAGAAGTACCAATGCAGGTGTAAAAAAAATAAATCCTAAAAACCCCTGCCACGAAAAAGTAATTTCTATTGATTTAAATTCCAAATGAAACGTATAGACACGGATATTTAACTTCATCCCATATTGAAGAACGAGCCTGATTAGAGGTAGTAAAGAATATTTTAAAAATAAATGACATAATGTGAATATTGTGTATGGAGGGAGGAGTATATGAAACATGAATCTGAAGTATATGTCACAAAATGAAAATATATTGCACACATACTAGTTACACACACACACACACAGACAGGACACCGACACACATTCACACAGAGGACACTGACTCACACACACACTTCCACAAAGAGTACACTGACACACCTGGTATCCCGACTGGGTACCTCCGCCAAACACGCTTCCTAGCTATCGCAGTGACACCATCAGCACTTCAGCTCCTAGCCGCTGCAGCTTGGCCAGGGTCTCGCTGTTGCTTCCCACCTTGGACCAGGGTCCTGGGTCCAGCTTCCAATAATTTAACTTCCCTTCCAGGCAGGAATCATCCCCTCTGTCTATTCCGCTGCAGCCTTTCTTCCAGGCAGGTATCATCCCCTCTGCCTATTCCGCTGCAGCCTTTCTTCCAGGCAGGTATCATCCCCTCTGCCTATTCCGCTGCAGCCTTTCTTCCAGGCAGGTATCATCCCCTCTGCCTATTCCGCTGCAGCCTTTCTTCCAGGCAGGTATCATCCCCTCTGCCTATTCCGCTGCAGCCTTTCTTCCAGGCAGGTATCATCCCCTCTGCCTATTCCGCTGCAGCCTTTCTTCCAGGCAGGTATCATCCCCTCTGCCTATTCCGCTGCAGCTGTGCTTACAGTGTTTATAGTTATTGCCTTTATAAAAACAATTGCGGCTCTCCGGCCTACCTCTCTTGCTTTACCCTAGACTTAGAGGGATCTTGCAACCAGCAAACCGATCCGAAGACTCTGTCACTGGGATCCCTACAAATTCACACAGGACACACAAAAAAGGAACTGACATAAAAATCTTTATTTTTCTCGGGAGTAGCCCATATGATAATTAAATAAAGATTGCTGTGTCAACTCAATAAAAATACAAACGGTCAAATTATAGCAGACACATACAGCAACTTATTATAACACAATGACATATTTATAAAGGGTTGGGAAAGGCAATAATTAACACAAAACATCTCTCCTGCTAGCAGAAATAGCAATATGCAAATCTACCTGAATATGCAAATTAACCAGCCTTGCTATTCAGGTAGTGCACATTGCTGTGGCTACCAACAGAGGGCACTACATAGCAATCCTTAGCAGCATAGGAGAGCAGGCAAAACATTTAACAGTATACACACACACATTATAAACAATTACATTACACACACCCTGCACCTATAATGAGTACAGGGTGACTAAAACATAAGAAAATCCAGCAACCTACATAAATAGTCTGTCTGTCAGTGTGTGTCTGTGATGGTAAGTCACCATCACCTGGACCTTCAGATACTTACTGAGACAAACACACACTTTTTAAAATTAATTTTATTTAGCCTCTCTACAATTTGGAGAGCTGGAGTGGATCCTTTCCCTGGGGTCCAGTGAGGATCATTTTCCTGGGATCCAGTGTGGGCTGGTATAATCTTTGTGCTCTTCCAGCACTGCTTCCTTGCGATCTGTTTGGTAATGCCTTTGCTGGAGTGACATCAAAACCTGGCTCCCGGGATCGCCACAGAGCGTGCGAGGGAGAAGTGTTGGGAAATCGTGATGAGTACAGCTCTTTCTCCGTCTCTGCCTCCATTCTCCCCGAGCCTGCCGCCTCTTCGTGCATCCCCTGCCTTTGGCACATGTACTCCCGGCGGTACACATACCACAGGTTGCAAAACTAGGCTGTACAGCTATGACTTCAGATTTTGGTAGCTGTAATGTCTACTTCTTACCCCAGGCATTTTAGATGAATCAAAGATTGCAGCTGAATCTCCATATAAAATAGTTGGCTGAAATACAATATAGCAAACAAGTGAAAGAATGTAGATTTGTTTTTATGACACACTTTCATTTTACAACATCAGGGTAAATTACAAACCAATGTCTCTGGGGTCGAGGGAGATCTCCGCTTTCTGGACAAAAAAAGATGGTACTGCACCCACAGACGCTTAGGACCATAAACACTAAACTTTGCTGTATAATGCTTATACTGCATAGAATACTCTTCAAAGATACCACTGAATCCCAGTAGCTTATGCTTTTTAATGAAACTGTTCCAATCCAGCATTAGTAACTGATGAGAGCAGTTTAAACCCTTAAAGGAAAGAGAGTGCCCAGAGGCCAGTTAACACCATTACATCTTCATTTCAATAAAGTTGTTATGGTGACCAGAATGTTCCTTTAATTTGCTTAAAAGATTATAGTGTGAGAATTACCAACATGTATTCCTGACACTATAGTTGTAAAAACGCTATTTAGCTGTCCCCCCTGTTCTCACCATTAAAAATGTGTTTTTACGCATCTTATTTCCAACGCTGTACCGGTGCCGCCGCGGTTCGCCCTGCTTTGCCTCCATTGCTAATGAGTGACCCGTTTTTTTAGTTCCACAATCTGGTCACACTGTCCATGACCGATCTGCAAATTGAGTAGGCAGTCTTTTTCTTGAGTGCATATAAATACTACAAACTTTTTTGTCACTGTAGCGGAGTAGTAGTATTATCCACGGTATCTCCGCTGGTACACAGAATCAAGCAGGCACAAAGCAGGTAAAATCCAGGTAGCGTAGTTACAATCCCTTCCTCCCAAGAACTAGACGACACATAGCTTGGAGGTCAACTGCGGTTTTATTTTCAGGTCACGGTATTTATGTGATTCCCCATGCAAGGGGTTTCCCTACTGACATTCCAGGGGTGGTACAGTAGGGGACTACATGGGGAACTGAACAATACATGCATTTTTCCCACCATGCACTGCTGCACGAGAGGGATACTCCCACGCGAATATACCGTTCAGTGGATTATCCCTCCGTGCAGCAGAACTTACATTTCACATTAAAATACATATCTCCCATAATATTCCCTTCATTTAAACGAATGGACGTTTGGTAGATAGCTGGGGTCTGAGCGCATAGTTCGTGAGAATACCACTCAGATCCCAGCCTAACTAACCGAACGCCGCACGAAACACACATAAAATTCAAGTTCTGCTCAAAATACCGATTTGACATCAGGGGAACAACCTCCCGAACGGCCGGGGCTCCCGAACAGCCTGGAAGTCCAGCGGGGTTCGCGCAGTCAAGTAGCCGATTTTGGTTCCAGGCGCTCAACGACAAAACCCCACTGGGCTAACAAAAGAACCAAGATGGCCGACCGCCGCGTGGTCGGTAGTCGAACGACATCCACCTAGAAACACATTTAATTACCGATTGCAACAATGTTGCAATCGGTTAATGGGCGCCACAGGACCTCCTGTGTGTGGTCGTGCATTCGGTAAGTTATTCGTTTCACGAACAGTGTTTAAACTCACTGTTCGTGAAGCTACAGTATTAATGCTGGGGTTTTCATAGTGCCAGCATACGAATGCCCTCATTCGCCTGAAACACAAATACAATCCTGCACTGGTCTCTACAGCTTTAGCAAGAATACAAACATACTTATACATTAATAGTCTCTAGTGGCTAGTTTTGCCACAGTTACCAAAAGTTAAAAGTAGTTCTGTTAATGACAAGTCCCCAAGATGTACTAAAAGAACAAAGAATTTAGAGGGGAAGGGATTCTCCCTTGGAATAGCCTGTTTGCCAAAATGTTGTTTGTGAATAAATGGGAAATAGGTGAAGAAAAAGTGTAAATATCTTTTTTCTATAATCACCCTGTACCTCACAGTCAGCACACATTCCAGCCAATCAGCAGCAGACCCTCCCTCCCAGACCCTTCCACCTCCTGGACAGCATCCATTGTGAAGCTGCATTCTTAGTGAGCTGTCCAGGAGGTGGGAGGGTCTGGGAGGGAGGGTCTGCTGCTGATTGGCTGGAATGTGTCTGCTGACTGTGAGGTACAGGGTCAAAGTTTACGCAATGATGAGTCCGCAGCGAACCGTTCGGCGAACAGTTAGGGACATCACTAATAGCGACCAATACAAGAGAAATAAAGCAAGAAGTTAAAATGATCCAGTCTAAATTAGCTGAAATGGAGGGTAATCTTGATAATTTGGATAAGAAGTACAATGTTTGAAGAAGTGATCACTGGACTGACAAGTAAAATAGGTGTCTTAGAAGCCAAAATAGGGGAATTGGAAGATAGATCCAGAAGGGCAAATATTAGAATAAGGACCATTCTGGAAGAAGTCTCCAAGGATTATTTAGAAAGATTCCTGCAAGATTTTTTTAAAAGCTTAATTCCGGATGGAGATCTACATGAGTATCTAATAGATCGACTACACCGGCTGCCTAGACCTCACAACGTCCCAGAGACTTTCACAAGGGATGTAATGGGGAAATTTTACATGTTTCAAACAAAAGAGAATTATGGCTGCAATGAGGAATAAACCAGCATTGGAAGAAAGATTCAAGAATCTAACTATATTTCAAGATCTCTTCTTTTCGACTAGGCTGTGGTGCAGAAGCTTTAAAGATCTACTACCCATCCTGAGACAGAAGAATATCAGCTATAGATGGGCTTTTCCCTCGGCATTGAGGGTGTTTTGGAACAGGAAAGTGGAATCTTTTGACTCTAAAGTAGCATTGAACAGCTGGATGGAGAAAATTAATGTTATCAAATTTTTTTTGCCTAAACACGTAGGCTGTACATAGGGGGGACGGTGGAAGGGGGAGAAGAGGAAGGACAAATTGTTATTTTTAAAATCCTTTTTTTTTTTTTCTTCTTCTCTCTTATCTATAGTAAGAAATAGAGTTATGAGTTAGTAAAATTAATAGCATAAAGATATAAGTAGGCAATGGAATTAATTTATGATATTAATTAGAATAATTAAAGATTCACTGGGTAAGAGTACTCACAGTAGTATAAGAGTGGAATAAGAGGAACACCAAATTAAGGAGTCTATAAGTAACTTGTCAGGCACTAGGATCACAAGGGATATAAATCAGAAGAAAAAGAAAAAATACCTTAAAGGGACACCGTACGCACTGTATCTGCTTCATCTCATTAAACTGGTTATAGTGTATGGAGTCCCCTGGTGCCATAATTTCTTTCAGCATTAAACAGTTTTTAATGTTGTAATGTTTTAATGCTAAACAAGAGACCACGGCAGTCCATCCCCTCTGTGCTGCTTTGGCTAATAAGGAAGTATTACCCTGAGCAGCAATGGGCAGCTGTGATTGGCTGAGAGTGTCAGCTGACTGCTTTTAACCTGTCAGAGCTCCAACTGACGGTATGAATGGGTATGACAACAAGGAAGTGTGTAATCTCTGCCTTAGCTACACATACAGAAGGGGCCGGACTGTGGGTGGCCAGGGACTCTTATTTTGTGGCATACTGCACAAACATGGTGCAACACTGAATGGAGGGACAGTGCCAGGCACTCCAGGCACTATAACCAATTCAAAGAGACAAAGTGGTTATGGTGACTACAGTGTCCCTTTAAGGTTTAATCATAGGAAGAGATGGACAAAAAAGGACAATAATTAAGCACATCAATTTTACAAGTTGGTTAGTATAGGATTAATGTTATTATGGGCAGTGAGACTATCTCGATTAAGAGGATTTTTCACAGTTAAAGGTGTATTTAATTAGAAAGATTGGCAAGCAAATCACAATTGAATAGCTGGTTTGAATATTTTGAAGACGCAATATGAAGTATTATGTTTTTTTTCTCTCACTCCATTTTATAAAATACTTAGGTTGGCATTTCTTAAGTGTCTCTCCTCTTCAAGGGTATAGGGTCCTGGCCAAGTGTCCAGTTCGAGAAACAATAACCGATATGGTGATTTGATTCAATTCACCCATCGAGAGAATGGCTCTCCCCCTTGGGTATATCCTGGGAGAGGAGAGGTCATTCTTTCCAATCTGGACGGTATACAACCAGAAAGGAAGGGTATGATTGTTATGTAAATGTTGTGTTGTTATTGTACATGCCGACGGGTATACTAGGATTGTTCTGTGGGGGTCATGGTTAAAATGATATCAGTTAACACTCAAGGCCTAAACTCTCAAAATAAAAAAGCATTAGTATATGATTTTTTTACCAAACAAAAGGTGGAGGTAGGTTTCCTACAAGAGACCCACTGGAGGCTGGTTGATAAAGTAAAGTGGGGGGGGGACATAGATTTCCAATTCTGCTTCAGGCCTCTCTTAAAGATAGGAAAAAAAGGTGAGTGGCTATTATAGTGGCCAATAAGGTGAAATTTGAATTATTATACCAATATGCAGACAGAGAAGGCAGATTTGTAATTGTCATTTGTAAAATAAATGAAGTTAAATATACTTTGGTTAACATATATCTTCCAAATTCTTATCCAGTGGTCTCACAGAGAGATTCTGGAGTTGGTAGAATCGGTAAAAACTGGAGTGTTTCTGATGGCAGGTGATTATAACTGTGTGTTGGATCCAGTTTTGGATAAGAAACTCAGTCATAATCTGGAGGTGAATAGCTCCGTAGTTAAAATAGCTAAAACTCTTAGCAAAATATTGAATGAATTTGATCTTTTTGATTTGTGGAGATCTTCCTATCCAGAGAGATTGGATTACACCTTCTTTTCTAGAGTACATTACTCATATTCTCGTATTGACATGGTCTGGGGAAATGGAATGGCTATAGAAAATTTAGAGAAGATTGATTTTA